CGTCCTGCCTCATCAACCGCTTTTGGCTTGAAGACGTACCTGGCGGGCAGCCCGTCATTCTGGGGGATAGGGTTCTCGGGGGAACCCCTCCCCTCCCCACATCCTTTCTCTTTGTCAGCATCTAAGGCCCCATTCCCATTCCCGGATCATCCTAGGGGTTCTTCAGCAAAAAAACATAAAAAAGAGAAACAGTTTTTCCTGGAATTTATGCTCAAAGAGTATGACAGTGCCAAGTGGAGTGGGGAAGGGGCCGCTCTGGGTGCAGGAGGACTGGGTCTAAGGATGCTCTAGCAAACAGCGGTTGTTCATTGAGCTTCTTATGCAGTTCTCTAAGCTCTTTGTCTGTATTAACTCATTTATGGCTCTGCACGACAACCCTGTGAAGAGAAGTACTATTACCCTCCCCACTTTAGAGATGAGGGAGCTGAGAGCTGGGATTCGAACACAGGTTTGAACAGGAGTGGCGGGGGCTGCAGAGTTCAGAGGGTATCTTTCACTGCACCACCTCCCAGAGAAGAGCAGCTGGAAGGGAGCTGGTGGGGAAGTCCCTCTTGCTGTCTCACTTCCATCGGCCCCACTCTTGCTCTCTGCCTTCTATAGAAATGGACCATCTCCGGTCCACTAGGAGCTCCACTCCCCTCCCAGAGGCCCCAGACCCATTCCTCTCCTCCCAGCAGAGACTGGAACACAGTGAGGGTGGAAAGGCTCCCCACCAGAGGGGATCAGGCTAAATAGAGGAGCAGGGGAGGACAAGCTGGGTTGGGCCCTGCGTGGGCCTGGAGGCTAAGAGGGCAGGGATGCTGGGGGCCCCTCGCAGGCGGGACTGGGGACTGGGAGGCCTGGCCAGGCGCCCAGCTGCTTTGCATCTCGAGGTGGAGGAGAGAGAAGTGTCAGCTCATTCTTGACTGTAAACACATCCTGGTTCCCACGCCTCTGATCGAGTTCTTGCGGCATTGCCCCCCCGCCCCATCCCCTTCCCCTGTCCAGCCCCTGCCAGGCACCCCCTCGCCATAATCAAGGCTATTAAAAAGAGATGCAAAGCCCCTGGGATTCCCGCCTGGGCTCGGGAGAGACTGGAATTGCAGGGGGAGGGCTCTGCTGGTCTGGGTTTGGATCCCAGCTCCGACATTGCTGTCCATGTGGCCTTGGGCAGGGGACTTACCCTGTCCTTCCCTATTTCCTCATCTGTAAAGTGAATAACAATAGCTACCACCATGGGTTGCATGCGTGATAAGTCACTTCAGTTGTGTCTGACTCTTTGTGACCCTATGGACTGTAGCCTCCCAGGCCCCTCTGTTCATGGGATTCTCCGGGCAATAATACTGGCGTGGGTTGCCATGCCCTCCTCACCACCGTGGGTTGACATAAGCTTTACCCGAGATGATCCATATAAACTGTTCGGCACACTGCTTGTGCCGACATGGTAAATGACACATGGGGCACACTGTTATTCCAGTTGTGAGGAAAGGTGTGTGGGTCCCTCAGTCCAGAGGTGAAGTGGAGAAAGGGGGCTGGGGGCGTTATCTGTATGGGAAGAAGAAGGGAGCCTACAGTGCGGGCCCTGGGGTCAGATGGGGAGCCAGTAGTTGTCTGATTTAAACCCCTTGAAGGGGCACATGGACCCCAGTGCCGCTGGGCTTGGAGGTGCTGGGGGAGGGTGGGCTGGGGTCTCAGGTTCCCCAGCCCCTCAGGGACAAAGGCTCAGATGTAAACAAGCCTAGGGTGCCAGGTGGGGGCTCCTGGTCTGGGCCGTGTTCCCTCCTCAGGGGCTGAGGCTGGTGAGGCCAAACCCTGCTCCTCCCTGCCAGGATCCCCATCCCATCTCTCCTCTCCCTGCGGACCACCCACTGATCGCACCCACCCCCTCCTGGCTTCCAGCCCCACCACTGACCAGCTGGGGCCTCCTCTGCACTCCAGTCCTGCCCCGAGGCCCTTTGGGAAAAGGGACTCACCCCACCCCTCTAGCTATTAGAGTCAACCCCTAGGGTTAGGGTTAAGCCCCCCCCACCCCATGCTTCCCTGGCGGCTCAGTCCGTAAAGAATCCGCCTGCAATGCAGCAGAAGATCCCCTGGAAAAGGAAATGGCAACCCGCTCCAGTATTGTTGCCTGGAAATCCCATGGACAGAGGAGTCTGGTGGGCTATGGTCCATGGGGTCCCAAGAGTCAGACACAACTTAGCAACTAAACCGCCACATGCTCCCCTGAACAGTTTGCTCTGGAAGTTGGTTAAGAGGAGGTGGCCGGTGGGAGGGGGCTGATGTAGATGAAGGGAAGGACTTTCTCTCTCTGGGAGGGCAGCCCCCACCCCACCTCACCTCCTGGGGCCTTCGTGCTGCAGGTCTTGTCCACCTCACTGCAGCCTTGAGCTCTGGGGATGGATCCAGGCCATGGGAAGCCTGGGGGTGGAGTGGGGCGTTCCTGAATGGCTGGAGATGAGGCTCACCCAGAAACAATGGTGATGACCCTCCATCCAGGCAGACTGGGCTCCAGTTGGAGGACGGGATCTCAGGCCAGGTTCCAGGGAGTGTGGACCAACTGCCGGGTGAACAGGGGAGACGTGGGGAGGGTCCGGGGCCCTGTCCCTGGGCTTGCTGCCATGAATATTCGAGGGAGAAGTGGGGAGAAGGTCAGCTGGGACCAGACAGAGGAGAGCTGGTGTAGTTTTGGAACCTTGGGAGAAGGAGCCAAATCTGTTGGGGAGGGAGCTGGGGGGCTGTGTGGGTGGGGGGCCAGACTGTGGGGTCACCTGAAGGACACTCTTGACTGCGGCCTGGCTCTCTGAGGCCAGGCTGGGTCCCTCCCTCAGCCCCTCAGAGTGGGCTGGGAAGGAGGCTTCTGGACCTCCCCCTAGCTCTCCCCATCCTACCTTCGGAGTTCAGGGTGGTGGGAGGATGGAGCCACCCCATGCTCAGCCCACGATCATTGCTCCCTGCTGCCCTCCCCGCCTGCACACCTTCTAGCTGGGCTCTATTTCCTGTTTTCAGGCTCCATATCCTGAGCACCGGGACCCCCAGGATCCTCTCTGGATGCCCCCCGGCCCTGGGGCCTGAGGACTGTGACACCCTGTCCCTGGCTCACCTGAGTTTCTCAGGCCCCAGGATGCCATAGAGGCCTGGTGAGTTACTTGGGGACTGAGGATGGCTGGGAAGAACACAGAGAGGACTAGAGGTGGGAGATCTGCCCCGGGGGAGCTGTGATGGGGCCCCTAACCAGAGACCTGGGAGGGCCTTACAGCTCTGCAAGACTGGAGGGTGTGGGTGGACATTTGTGGCAGGATGAGGAAACCTGGGGAGGAGAGGTGGGCCAGCCCTGTAGCTGAGAGGGTGGTGAGCAGACCGCTGGAGGGTTTACTGGTGGGACAGAACGCATGGTGGGGAGTATCCCTAGGAGCGCTGCCTTGATGGGAGCTGAGAGCAGCTGCTGCTACGGACCCCGGGAGTGTGTGGGTGGTGGGGGGCCTGGGGTGGGGCTGGCGGCAGGCATTCCAGAGATACTCAGGGGGAAGGGGCCAGCTACCATGACCTTTCTCTCTTCCCAGGAAAATTATAAGCAGATGTGGGTGCCTCAGGGAGGTGTAGAGGAGGGAGCTAGGGCAAGTTTTAGGAACACTGAACAGAGAATCTGAAACCGGCAGGCGGCGGGGGTGGCTGCTCAAGGGGCTCAGCTGCTCCTGAGCGCAGGAGCCTGAACAGACTCCTCTGAGGTCCTGAGCCGCTTCCCACCCACTGGGCGAGGCCAGGCGTCGGGGAGGCAGGGAGGAGCCCATTTCCAGATGGCGGGTGGGTGGTCAGAGGGAGCTGGGGGCTGCTTCTTAAATCTGAGGTCAGGTTGGGGACCTCCTCGGTGACGTGTCGAGCGTTGGGTGCAGGGGTGTGCTGGCATGGCTTTAACAACCGGCTCTGGTGGGGAGGGGTGCTGGCCCCGGTTTGTGGTGTTTGCCGATGTCCGTGGTGTAAATAATCCCCCTATGCTTGCTTTCAAACTACTAATGTGACAGCACTGATCAAGAAGTTGGAAAGAGAAGTCACCATTGGTTCTCAGGAGACAGTAGGGGCTGTGCCAGCGCAGCAGTGGTGGGAGGGGCCTTTTTCAGGGTCACTGGGACCCAGTCCTACTCCTCCCCAATAGGAAGCCCCCAAACTGGGTGGTTTTGGCCTCTGCCTGCCTACCTTCAGGGACAGGGAGCTCACCACTCGAGGCTGCTGATTCTGTCACAGAACTGCTTCAACTGTTGGAAAGTTCCTTCCCTAACTGAGCCCAGGTCGGCTTCTCTTATAACTTCCCTTCATCGGCTCCTATTTCACTGAGTTGTGCTTGGTCGTTCAGTCGTGTCCGGCTCTTTGCGACCCCCTGGACCATAGCCTGCCAGGCTCCTCTGTCCATGGAGATTCTCCAGGCAAGAATACAGGAGTGCGTTGCTGTGCCCTCCTCCAGGGGATCTTCCCAATCCAGGGATCGAACCCGGGTCTCCTGCATTGCAGGCAGATTCTTTACTGTCTGAGCCCCCAGGGAACCTTGGTACAATACCCAGGTACCCTGCGTAGGGACTGGGCTGGGGGCTGGGCAATCATGCACAGGTCCCTGCCTCCAGAGTTCATGGTCAGGGAACAGGCACTGGAACAGCAGTCTGTGGGTGAATGGTGCTGGGGGTCCCTGAAAGAATGGGTGGGGGCTGTCTGCCAGTGGAAGTTGAGGAGCAGGGCAAGGAAAGAGGGGTGATACTTGAGCTAGACCTTGAAAGGTGAGTGCTCAATGTGAAGAATGAGAGGAGGATGTCCAGACAGAGGAAACCATGCGAGAAAGACTCAGAAGCATGGCAGTGCTCCACCCGGTCAGGAATAAGACCTGGAGCCCGGGGAGCAGAGCTCAGAGGACCAGAGGCAGCAGCCTCATCTCCTCTGTCAGCCTGGCTCTGTCTCTGCAGAGACTTGCTCCTCCAGGTCTGTGGCCACAGTGCCCCTCACCTGCTCCGCACCTGGCCCTGTCACAGGCCCCTGCAATGTCACCACCCCTGCGGGCCCTCCTTCTCCTGGCCCTGGAGCTGGGGCTGGCTGCCACCCTCAACCCCAAGGACCCCAATACCTGCAGCTTCTGGGAAAGGTGAGAGAGGGCCCCTGCTGCACCCTGAAGGCGCCAAGCCCCCCGCCCCTTATTCTCCCCCCTGGGGCTCATCCTTCCTCATCACCTCCCTCTCTCCAGCCTCACCTCCTTCCTATTTCTGCGTCTGTTACTTCTGCTTCCTCGATGGGATGCTCTGACTCTATCCCCACCTGATCGTTTCATTCTCCATCTCAGCTCTGACCCTGTCCTCTCTTTATCCCAGTTCCTTGGTCCCTGTGTGAGGCTGGCTGCAGGACAAAGTACAGGGTAGGAGCTGTTCGCTATGGGGCAAGCAGAGGGTCTCGCCCAGGGAAAGCAAAGGGGACGGGGCTGGGGAGCAAGGCCAGATTTGGCCAGACGTGCTTCAACCCATCACCATCCTCTGGGCCCAGAAGTCAGTGCTAGCTCAATCTCCCCATATAGGGATAAAGAGGCCAGGTGGCAGGGGTGGAGAACAGAAGGCTGGAATGGCATATTCCCAGGAATATTCCAACTCAGGGAGGATCCCTCTAGAGTGAAGGACGACAGGATGGGGCTCCATCCTCGGCTTGGAGGGGCAAACCTAAATATTCCCCACTGTGACCCAGCCCCCACACCCTTGCCCTGGGGTGCCGCCTCAGCCTCTCCCTGCCCTGGGCCCCGACCCTGATCCCTGTCTTACAGTTTCACCACCACGACCAAGGAGTCGCACTCCCGCCCCTTCAGTCTGCTCCCCTCGGAACCCTGTGACCGGCCCTGGGAGAGCCCGCACAGCTGCCCCCGGCCCACGTGAGTACCCAGCCCCTGCCGTGGGCGGGTGGGCTGCCAGAGTAGCTGCCTTGGTCCAGGCCCTGGGCCTCTGCACCCCCATCCTTCTCTCAGAACCTTCAAAATTCAGAGGAAGCATCCGGGCTCAAGGCGCAGTGTGTGAGGTGTGTATGTTTGGGTGTGCAGGTGTGGTGTGTGGTGTGGGTGTGCGGCTGGGTGGGGGGCAAAGAGAAAATGTTCTTTCTCTGCTCCCCCAGTGTAGAGTGTTGGGAGGTGCCCCAGGCCCTCCCAGGGCCAGGCTGTGGCGGGGTGGAAGCCGGGGCCTCTGCACGGGAGACTGAGGGCCACCTCTGGGTCTCCCGCAGAGTTGTCTACCGGACCGTGTACCGCCAGGTGGTGAAGACGGAACACCGGCTGCGCCTGCAGTGCTGCCGGGGCTTCTATGAGAGCCGCGGCGCCTGTGTCCGTGAGTGCTGGCTGGGGCTGGGCGGCGGCAAGAGCCTGGGCCACCCAGTCCTTCCCCACCCCCACCGGGGGGGCTACTCCTCCGCCCCCCGCCTCCCCGGCCCTGTCTGTCTCGAGGGACAAAGCTGCCACTTCAGACCTCTGTCTCTAGCTGACCCCACTCCCTCTGTCCAAGTCCGCCAGCTGTCTCAGGCTCTGCGTCTCTGTCTTGGGGCTGCCTGGGTCTCTTTGTCACTGTGTCCCCGGGCTTGCGGTCCGCTTCTCTCTCTGACTCTGCCTGTCCCTATCTCTTTTGACTTTGTCCAGTCTCTCCTGTCCCCTGTCCCCGGCACCCTGAAATCTCCAGAGTGGAGCCTGCTCACTCTCTCTCCCCTTTCCTCAGCTTGGACCATCACCAACCCCCTGCAGAGACTCCTACCCAGCTTGACCACCCCTCTCCCCCTCTGGATGGCATCCATATCTGGCTCCTGTGTGAGGAACCTCACCCCCAACCTCATTTCCCAACAAGCTGCTTTGAGAACTTCACAGAAACGAGCTAGGGAGTCCAGAACCCTGAGGTCTTGGCATGCTCCGACCTGAGTTGCTTACTCTCAGTCTTTCTGCATCTGAGAGGCTGAAATGCTGCTTGGCAGGCTAACTCCAAGTCCCTGGTATGGGAGGAAGCTGGGGCTGGGCTTCAGAGGACAAAAGGTGGGCAGGGCGGGAATGGAAGCATCGCCTCACTCCCAACTCCGTCTCTGCCCCAGCGCTCTGTGCTCAGGAGTGTGTCCATGGCCGCTGTGTGGCACCCAATCGGTGCCAGTGTGTGCAAGACTGGCAGGGTGACGACTGCTCCAGTGGTGAGTGGCTGGTGGCTGCAGGGCGGGTCCTTCTGTGCCTCCAGGGAGGCACACCCTCCCTCCCTACCGGGCACAGGTGCTGAGGACCCCGGGCAACCACCCAGCAGAGTCCCACTGCAGCCAGCTGCCTCTTCTGGGGGTGTGCTGCAGGAGATGGGCCAAAGCCAGGAATGGGGGCATGTGTGGGGGCCAAGAGAGAGAGACAGGAGCTAACTGGAGCTGGGGAGGGGCAAGACCCCTGGTGATCCCCTCCCACCCTCTCATCCCCCAGCTTGTGCCCCAGGAGTGTGGGGGCCGAAGTGTGACCAGCCCTGCAACTGTGGCAACGGCAGCTCCTGTGACCCCAAGAGTGGGGCGTGTTCCTGTCCCTCTGGCCTGCAGCCCCCGCACTGCCTTCAGCCCTGCTCCCCTGGCCGCTATGGCCCTGCCTGCCAGTTCAGCTGCCAGTGCCATGGGGCACCCTGTAACCCTGAGACTGGAGCCTGCCTCTGCCCCCCAGAGAGAACTGGGCCCAGGTATGTAACGGGAGGAACACACACACATGGGATGGCAGACACAGGATGCACGGGCAATAACATGGGGATACCAGGGGACTCAGGATCCTCAATTTGGGGATGGAACCAAGCGGCCAAGATCCTGGTCCCAGCTTTGCTCTTCCCTGGTGGAGCAACCTTACTGTCTCTTCACGAGTTTGTTTTCTATGAAATGGGAGCAGTATTGTCCATCTCAAAGGGTTGCTATGAAGATAACATGAGCCAGAGTGTGTGTAAAAGTATGTCCCCAAGTGGGGCTGAGACAGTCACAGAGAACCTATTGCAAGGCAGGGTGCAGGGGCGGCTGGGGAGTCACAGGAGGGAGACCATCCATCTAGTTGGAGATCAAATATCCAGCTTCAGGGAGGAGCTCCAGAGTTGAGCCCTTGGGATGAAAACTACAGCAGGCAGAGATGTTCCCCCCAGAGAAAGACCAGCATGAGCAAAGGTGGAATGGAGAGCATGTGGAGAGCAGACAGACCACCCATGGCTCTTCACTCTGTCCCATTTGAGGGGGCTGTGTGTCCCTGCCATTTCCAGTCCTGGAAACTTTTGATCCCTGCCCTACCCAGCAGGGAAGGGGGATGAGACACCTCGGGGCCGGGTGGGTGTGGCTCACTGAACCCTGGGGTCCGGAGGGCCTGGGAGGCAAAGGGGGAATTCCGTAGGTGCAGCTTGTTTACAGACTGACCTCGCCCCCTCTGCTCAACAGCTGCGAGATGTCCTGTTCTCCCGGGAGTGCTGGCTTCTCCTGCCCCAGCGCTCCTCCTTGCCAAAACGGGGGAGTCTTCCAGGCCTCCCAGGATTCCTGCAGCTGCCCACCTGGCTGGACGGTATGAAGGGTGGGGCCTGTGGGTATGAATTCTGTGGGTGGTTCTCTCCAGGGCTTCAGAGGGGGATGTGTGTGAGGGGGGTAGGCTGTGGGGGCCCTGGAGAGGTTTGTGTTTGGGGGTACAGGGTATTGGTGGGTCCTCCGGCCACGGGGAGGGGGCTGGGCTCCTGGGGCTCTGTTGACCTTTCACCCCCCACAGGGCACCATCTGCTCCCTGCCCTGCCCCGAGGGCTTCCATGGACCCAACTGCTCCCAGGAATGTCGCTGTCACAACGGAGGCCTCTGCGACCGATTCACCGGGCAGTGTCGCTGTGCTCCGGGATACACGGGGGACCGGTGAGTGGTGTGAGCCCGGGCGTGAGGGAGTGGTGCGGGGGCGGCTGGGGATGGCGTCTGCCAGGCTCACTCCCCCAGGCGCCCAGGTGCCGCGAGGAGTGCCCCGTGGGCCGCTTCGGGCAGGACTGCGCTGAGACGTGCGACTGCGCCCCTGGCGCCCGCTGCTTCCCGGCCAACGGCGCGTGTCTGTGCGAACACGGCTTCACCGGGGACCGCTGCGCCGAGCGCCTCTGCCCCGACGGCCTCTACGGCCTCAGCTGCCAGGTGCCCTGCACTTGCGACCCGGAACACAGCCTCAGGTAGGCCGTGGGACGCTGTGGTCAAGGGGTCAGGAGGCCAGTGGGAGAGGCCTTCAGTGCTGAAGCCACCGGAGTCACGAAAAGCACCGGGGGCATATCCTGGGCGGGGTCCGGACACAGATGTGGCAGAGGGGATTGGGCGGGGCCTCGGGGACCGGGGTGTGGGGGACCGCCCTCGGAACGGCGCGGAGCCTCCCTGATTACCCCCTCCACCCCGCGATGCTCGGCTCCCACCACGCGGAGGCGGGGGTGGGGCGGGGGGAGGTCGGCTGCGGACGCCGGCTCAGACCGCCCCATGCCCGCGCCTCCGCCCGCAGCTGCCACCCGATGAGCGGGGAGTGCTCGTGCCTGCCGGGCTGGGCGGGCCTCCACTGCAACGAGAGCTGCCCGCAGGACACGCACGGGCCGGGCTGCCAGGAGCACTGCCTCTGCCTTCACGGCGGCGTCTGCCAGCCCGACAGCGGCCTCTGCCAGTGCGCGCCCGGCTACACGGTGAGGCGAGCGCCGCCGCGAGGGAGGTGCGGAGGAGGCCCAGGGAGTCCGCCCGGCCCTCTCATGAGGGCGCCCACCCACCCCCCACTTTCAGGGACCGCACTGCGCTAGCCTCTGCCCCCCTGACACCTACGGAGTCAACTGCTCCGCACGCTGTTCCTGCGAAAATGCCATCGCCTGCTCGCCCATCGACGGCGCCTGCGTCTGCAAGGAAGGTACTGGGTTGGGGTCTCCTGGAAGGGCGATTTAGGGGCGGGGCTCTGGGACGAAGGGAGAGTCCAAGCGCAGGGGCCGGCCAAGGGTAGGGGAGAGGCTGCAGGGTATGGGCGGAATCACCGGGCAGCAGCTGGACGGCGGGAAAGTAGCCAGGCTACTTCCTTCCTGGAATATCCACTTTGCTTTTGTTTCAACCACAAAAATCCCAATTGTCCTTAAAGGCCCAGGCCAGAGGCATCTCTTCGCTGAACATTCCTCATCCTCAGTCATACAGAATCACAGAATGCCGGCGCCAGGAGATCTACCAGCGGAGGCCCGTGGGCAGTCTTTAGGGCTGGGTTCTGACACACGTGTTTTGTTTGACTAGCTCTCCATCATATTTAACAAACGTCGCAGTCTCCAGTCCCCACTCCTCCCTATTGTCTTACCCATGACCTGGAGAACACATTTAGTTACTTAATGGGGCCTCTGTAAGCCTTTGGGTTTGCTGCCAACCCCCTTCTTCTGGCAGAAGAGGCAGCCAAGACCCAGAAGGGGGTGGTGCATCCCCGACGGTCATTCAGCCTTCTGTCCAACATCTCCTATGGGGCCGTGAGCACCCCATCCCCACCCCGTGCTGGTAGCTCAGAGTCTGGCACAGTCATTGCCCAGTGTGTTTGCTTGCTCAGGAGGGCAGCTGGGTCCCCATGCCTACCTACAAGCCCCTCTTCCAGGTTGGCAGCGTGGTAACTGCTCTGTGCCCTGCCTGCCTGGAACCTGGGGCTTCGGTTGCAATGCCAGCTGCCAGTGTGCCCATGAGGCAGCCTGCAGCCCCCAGACTGGAGCCTGTACCTGTACCCCTGGGTGGCATGGGACCCACTGCCAGCTCCCCTGCCCGGTAAGTGTGCAACCGCCTGCCTGCCTGGGTGGAGGGGAGGGCACCACATCCCCCAGCTTACTGGCCTGTCCTACCCCCCATCCCTCTCTAAGAAGGGGCAGTTTGGTGAAGGCTGTGCCAGTCGCTGTGACTGTGACCATGCTGACGGCTGCGATCCTGTTCACGGACACTGCCAGTGCCAGGCTGGGTGGACAGGTGAGCCTTATGGTGGGCAGACCCCAGGCTTACTGTGAGGTGGGGGGAATGTATCCCACAGGACATGTGTGCAGAGAATCCTTATGGATGAGGAGAGGGGACACAGGCCAGGCTCATCCTACCCCTCTCACAGGTACCCGCTGCCACCAGCCCTGCCCTGAGGGCTTCTGGGGAGCCAACTGTAGCAACACCTGTACCTGCAAGAACGGGGGCACCTGCATCCCCAAGAACGGCAATTGCGTTTGTGCACCCGGATTCCGAGGCCCCTCCTGCCAGAAATGTGAGGCTCCCTCCCCTCCCCCTGCCTTTCAGTCCAGTGTCAGATGCCAGAAGCCGCCACTCTACCCCTCTTGGCCTCCAGTGCTGACTCCAGTCTATGGGCTGGTTACCACAGCGGGAAGGAGGCAGGGAGAGGGTGGAGTCAGGGCTGACTGAGGGTTGGCCCCTGCTCCCAGTCACCACGAGCCCCTTTCCCCCAGCCTGTCAGCCTGGCCGCTATGGCAAACGCTGTGTGCCCTGCAAGTGTGCCAACCATTCCTCCTGCCACCCTTCGAATGGGACCTGCTACTGTCTGGCTGGCTGGACCGGCCCTGACTGCTCTCAACGTATGTGGCGGCCTGTGTGTCTGAGTGCATGCCGAGGGGATGGGCTGAGAACCGAGATTTCCCTTCTCCTGAGCCTGGGTATAAAAGCCTCTGGACCCACCTTGATCCAGCCACTGATATAAACACAATAAGCAGATATTTATTGGGCATCACCTACATGCTGGGTATTGTTCTAGATGCTCAGGATGCAGCAATGAACAGATCAGGGAAAAAAAGTTCCCTGCCCTTCTGCATGGGAAAAATGGGAAAACCATAAGCTCAGTTTTGGACATTTTTTTTTTTTGCATCGCCAATTTATTTTTTATTTATTTATAATGGCCTCTTTCCCACATAAACATACGAAGAACATCATGGAAAAGATTAGTCCAAAAAACTGAATAAAGCAGATTTTGAAAAGGGAAAATGAGAAACAGTTACCATGAAAAAGACAGGCAGGGTAGAGAAGTGATTTTGGAGATGACTTTTTCCATAGAATTCGATAACTACTATTAGATTATCTGCTAGTATCATATACACAAAAATTATGCCTTGAATAGTGTGAGCATTTACTTCTTTCTTATATTAAAAAAAAAGAAGTCCAGAGCTAAGCGATGTAGGGTAGTTTGGAAGCCTTTGGTTGTCTGGCCCTGATCACATTATTTTGAAAGGCTGTTAGACAGGCAAGTGCAGAGGTTAGGCAGGCAGCTGGGCACGTGGGTCTGAAATTCAGGCTAGAGACACGGCTACAGATAAGCGTTTGTGAGTCATCAGTGTATAGATACCGTTCTAAGCTTTGGTGTCTCTGGGGAGACCAAAGCTGAGTAGAAGGCTTCAGCGATGCTGGGGACTGAGAATTCACCCAGGAGACGCTGATCCTGACTGCCAGACAGGCTCCAACCTTGTCTCCCGCAGCATGCCCTTTGGGACACTGGGGAGTCAACTGTGCCCAGCTCTGCCAGTGTCGCCATGGTGGGACCTGCCACCCCCAGGATGGGAGTTGTTTCTGTCCCCCGGGCTGGACCGGACATCTCTGCTTGGAAGGTACCAATAGAAGGGCAACTCCATGCCCCGACCGCCAGCCCTAGCCCGAGGAGGGGACTGCCATTCCCTTGCCCCTCTGATCTCCTCTTCTACTTTCTCCCAGGCTGTTCTCCAGGGATGTTTGGTGCCAACTGCTCCCAACCATGCCAGTGCGGTCCCGGAGAGAGGTGCCACCCGGAGACTGGGGCCTGTGTGTGTCCTCCAGGGCACAGTGGTGCCCCCTGCAGGATCGGTGAGTTCTCATCTAGCCCCTGCCTCTGCACTGTCCCCAGGGAACCAGGACATAGGTACCTGTCCAGGTCTCTGCTAGGTGGTACTCTTGTATCACCCTACCTTCCTACTGGGGCCTCTCCCATCCATGCATCATCCCAAGCTCACCAACAGGGCCAAGACACTGTCCTGAGCAACCACTCCATCCCACATAGGGAGCCAGGAGCCGTTCACCATGATGCCCACCTCTCCAGTGGCCTATAACTCGCTCGGGGCAGTGGTTGGCATCGCAGTGCTGGGATCCCTGGTGGTGGCCCTGGTGGCGCTGTTCATTGGCTACCGTCACTGGCAGAAAGGCAAGGAGCACCGGCACCTGGCCGTGGCCTACAGCAGCGGGCGACTGGACGGCTCTGAGTATGTCATGCCAGGTGAGCCCGCCCGGGGGTGAGCTCGTGGGCGTGGCTGACTCTTCGGCACAGGGCAGATGGGATGCGGGGCTTCTGCATCCTTCCCTGGACCTAGGAGATGGGAAGCGGGGTCAGAGAGGCCGATTACGGATCTCCTGGGACAGAACGGCTGTCTCGGGCCCAGGCCTGTGTTTGACCTGGCAGGCCACCCCGCATCTGTGTCTGTTTGTGCAGATGTCCCTCCGAGCTATAGTCACTACTACTCCAACCCCAGCTACCACACCCTGTCACAGTGCTCACCGAACCCCCCGCCCGCTAAGAAGGTCAGTGCTAGGGGTGGGTGTGCACCGTGGGTGCCCGGTGGGTACAGCTCCGGGTCTCCGGAGAGCTCCAGCTCTGTGTGTTCCCCTCCCTGTCCCGCCCTCCCCTGCCAGGTTCCAGGCAGTCAGCTCTTTGCCAGCCTCCAGGCCTCTGAGCGACCAGGTGGAGCCCACGGACTTGATAACCATGCCACGCTACCTGCAGACTGGAAGCATCGCCGGGAGCCCCCGCCAGGGCCTCTGGACAGAGGTAGAAGCCTGGGGGCCAAGGCCTCTGGTGAGGGTGGATGTGTGCAACCCAGCATCCGGCTCCATCTGAGTGTGCATGTCTGTAGAAGGGGTTCCGGGCGCCAGTTCTAGAGGAGGGGACGCTGGGGTGCGGACCAGGGGCCTGATTGAGGGTCGCTTTCTCCTTGTTAGGTAGCAGCCACCTGGACCGAAGCTACAGCTGTAGCTACAGCAACACTAATGGCCCCGGCCCATTCTACAGTAAAGGTGAGCGCACGGCGGCGGGGGTGGGAGGGGGCTGCCCTGGGGTTTAGGAGCCAGTGCCTCCACTGAGCCTGACTTCTTTCCCCCATCTTTAGGACCCATCTCTGAAGAGGGGCTGGGGGCCAGCATGGCTTCCCTGAGCAGTGAAAACCCCTATGCCACCATCCGGGACCTGCCCAGCCTGCTAGGGAGCCCCCGGGAGAGCAGCTACGTGGAGATGAAAGGCCCTTCCTCAGGGTCTCCCCCCAGGCAGCTTCCTCAGCTCCCGGACAGCCAAAGACGGCGCCACCCCCAGGCACAGAGAGACAGTGGTACCTATGAGCAGCCCAGCCCTCTGGTCCATGGTGAGCCCTCCTTTTCCACTGGAGCAGAGAGAACAGGGACAAGGGATCTGGGAAAAGAGAAGGGACAGGGGACAAGAATGTGGAGGTGGCAGGAAGTGGTAGCAAGAGCAAGGTCTTTGGGGTCAGTTGTTGTTTAGTCGCTAAGTCGTGCGACTCTTTGCAAGCCTGTGGACGGTAGCCACCAAGCTCCTCGGTCCATGGGATTTCCCAGGGGAGAATACTGGAGTGGGTTGCCATTTCCTTCTCCAGGGGATCTTCCCCACCCAGGGATCGAACCCACATCTCCTGCGTTGGCAGATAGATTCTTTACCACTGAGCTATCAGGAAAGCCTTCTTTGGGGTTTAGACTTAAGCTTAAACCAAGGGTGATGTTTGGGAAGTCATACTCCCTCTTAGAGTCTGTAGGTGGCGGTACCCACCTCACAGAGCTAAGGATTTGAAATGGTGGTTTTACAGCACCTGAGTTGTAAACTTGATACCCAGAAAAGCTGGGAACAAGGCAGGTGACAGAGTGTCTTCCTATTTTGTGAGGTGGGCAGGATGAGGTGGCCTCCCCCACTGGCAGCTGAGGAGCTGCACAAAGTGGTGGATAGCCAGGCACCATTCATCTGGCTTTGGGCAGAAGACGCTGGAGAGGGGAGGAGAGTGGTGGGAAGTGGAGGAGTCACCTCCCTCCCTCTGTCGGCTCCCCTCTCTGTCTCCAGACCGAGACTCTGTGGGGTCCCAGCCCCCACTGCCACCGGGCCTGCCTTCTGGACACTATGACTCCCCCAAGAACAGCCACATCCCTGTACACTACGACTTGCCTCCGGTTCGGCATCCCCCCTCACCCCCAGTTCGGCGCCAGGACCGCTGAGGAGCTGAGATGGTGTGCAGAAGTCAGCATACCTGTTCTTTGCTGCTCGAGGCTGAGGACAGAGCCCACTGTACCCTGCCAGGAGCAGGGAGGGGACTGGCCGGCCGTGAATATGAACATGGTTAATACAAGAAGTGAATGGAGAGGAGATGGGAGCCTGGCTCCCAGGTTCTGTCATGGGAACACAGTCAGCAAGAAGTCTGTGTTCCTGTTCCCCAACCCAGTGCTTCCCAAGGCCCCTAGGGCCCTGTGTACATAACCTGGTGGGTTCAATGTTGCTGGATAACTGATTTCAAATCAATGTAGAAAATGTATATTGGGTGAATTTTCTGTGTACTCCTAGCCTAGGCTCTGTGCGTGTGTGTTTGTGTGTGTGGGGGGCGTGTGTGTGTGTAGGGGGGTGTGTTTGTATGTGTGTATGTGTGGTTTCAGAGGGGTACCAGGCACTGATCCTGACTTGGGGCACTCACTATAATGGAGAGGCAGCCCAAACCCAGTTAACTCTAGAAATAGCCTGACTGGCATCCCTGCATTCATCTGGTCCTCCCTCCAATCAACTGCTCAAAACACAAGCTGATTAGGTTACCTCTGCCTGAAAGTCTCCATCGGTGGCCAACTGCTCTTGGGCGACAGTCAAAATTGTCCAAGGCTTTAAAGGCTTTGCTGGCCTGGCCTGCCTGTCTCTTCAGCCTTACTCTGAACTGTGTTCCCTGTCTCTCTGCTCCAGTTACACTGGCCTCTGTGTCCTCTCAGCCACCTTCCTATGACAGGGACTTAGCACATCTGGAATGCTCTTCCTCCCCCACTCACTCACCTGTTACCTCCTGCTTGTACCCCACATCCCGTTTTCTCTTTCATGGCATTGATGACAGATGTATTTATGCACCAGATGCCTGCAAAAGGCCAACAGGGTGCCAGGCACCTCTCTAATGTGTTGATTTTTAATGTGATTATTTGATTATTCTCTGCCTTCCCCACCAGACTCTAAGTTCCCTGAAAGCAGGAATCCTGTGTTTATGTTGAACATTGGTTCCCCTTGGCACATAGTAGGCACTCAATAAATGTTCCCCCAAAGGCTGAGTGGCTGAGTGAGTTAAAGGTACCAATGGTAAATACTGGCAAATGTTAAGATAGATGGGCAAATTGCTGCTCTGAGAGCTACAAGCCTGGGCAGGTCGAAGCCTTTCCCAAAGGGTAGAATCTCTACAGGGGAACAGCACAAAGGCTCAAAGGTGGGAAGGTCTGGGAGTGGGGGAGGGGGAGGGGGATGGAATGGAGTGGGCAGGAGAGCAGAGGGGACAGGGAGAGGGTATACTCAGACGGGGGCCCAGCAGGGTCTAGGCTACCTGAGGACTTTGAATCCAACTTTCTAGGAAGCGTGACCCGCCTCTTTAACTCAGTCGATCAACTAAGTCCCCAGACCTCCAGGAAGCTATAAATATATGGGGTCGAGATTACAAATGAAGAGCCACGCCAACTCGCCAATTCTGCGGGTCTCTCTGGGACTCTTCCACCAGGGGCCCTCTTCTTAGAGGAGAGGAGGGCGGACCCCGGAGACGATCTGTCCCTGCCCGGACTCTTTCCTAGGTTCCTCCGACAGCCATGATCCCTGATACACTGAGCTGACGCCCGGCTTCCCCGAGCTCACTTTCGCAGATGGCTTTGGATGGTTTCCAGCCAGCCTCCCCAGCTCCACCTCTCCGCCCCGATCTCACCCTAGCCCCGCCCCCTCCTTTGGTCCGGCCGGGTCCCGTGCGGGATCTACTCGTCTCCTTCCTCCAAGGCCCCGCCCAGGTTCTTCTCCTTTCTCACTGGGTCCACGGGGTCCGGCCCTGCCGGGCTGCTCTGCTCCTGTGACCCCCTGCCGCCCAGTCGGGCCCACTCTGCCCTGACTCCACCCTTCCAGGGCGTCCTCCTCCGTGGCTCCGCCCTCCGGGCCCCGCCTCCTGCTAGTGACTCTGTGGTGCCCCCTGGCGGCCTCGCGTGCGCTCCGCGGTTGCCCTTTGCCCGCGGGCCGGCCCACCTCGCGCGGTTGTCGTGGAGAGGGACGCGGAGGCGACGCCACCGCAGGCGGGTCCGGCTGGTGCAGGCGGAAGTAGAGACCCTTGATTCAGCCACCTACAGGGCAAGCCCCACAGAGTCTGGTCCTGCCTCCTCGCCCCCGTGAGGGTCCTCAGAGTCGCTGCGGACGGTAGAGGCATGTCGGGCGAGGCAAGCGCACCACCCGCGACCTCACCCAGGGCCCCGCGTCCTGGGATCCAGAAATCATCGGGTGCAGTGACCAAGAAGGGGGATCGCGGGGCTAAGGAGAAGCCGGCGACCGTCCTGCCGCCGGTGGGAGAGGAGGAGCCCAAAAACCCTGGTAGGTTGGTGACAGGGTTGGGGGGTTAGGCCTCTAGGTTTCGGCCCCACGCACTCCCACCAGCCACTCGTCCCTCGGATCAGCCAGATTGGATGGGGCGTCGTCGTTGGGTCAGGCACTAGCGGGCGAGGTAGTAATAATATACTAGCAAATACTAGCAAATATATACTAGCAAATAATAATAGAATTTCTAGTGCTAAGGAGTGCTGTGTGGAAACGGATTCCACCGGCGGAAGTTCGGTATGTGAATGTAAATAGCTCCTGGCACGTGGTAAGAGTGTTGTAAGTGGTCATATTATTGGGTGTTCACGTGTTAATAGGCTTGTCTCTTCTCTACTATGGAGTCCTGCCCTGCCTATTGTGAGGAGGCACAACGGAGTTGATGGTGAGAAAGTAAGTATTTTTATAAACTGCAAATTCACTTGTTTACTCAACAAACATACATTGCACACCCATTCCAAGTGCCCTCCTCCATCCTGGGATATGAATCACAGTTTCAGTCCCAGAACAGTTCCTACAAGTCAGCTTGTCAGATGTTTGTATTGAACTTGATCTTAAAGAACCCACACTGGTTTGGGATGCTGACAAATAGAATAAGATGTGCTAATTTGTATGACAGAAGAGGGTCCAGGGAGTGATGGGAAGATGCAGGGGCACTGCCAAGAGTGACTTTGAATTTTATAGATATTCACTTATTCCAACAATTACTTTTTTGATGTCTGCTCTGTAGCCAGGTCAGATAGAGACAGAATGAGATGGACACAGTCCAGCTGGAATGGAAATTACATTCTCTAGGAAACGGACATCATTGGAAAAGTATGCATATGAGTGTGGCTTTTTATGTTGCAAGTGACAGAACCGCAACCCAAACTAATTATCCACAAAGGGGAACTGATTGGAAGCCTTCTTGATTCAAACCACCAGCTTTGCATTGAAGACAGACAGGAGCTTGTGATCTCTGGACTCACAGAAAAACAACTTGGAGAAAACGCTTTGATATCAGACCTTGGTCAGGTGCCATCTCCTTGTCAGTGCCGGTGGCTGTGGGAGCGGAGCTATAGGAGCTGGAGAAAGAGCATTTTCTTGAAGGAAAAACAAGACAGTTTAGAATCTCTTATAGATATGAACCCAGCTACATCTCACACACATACACACACACACAAACACAACCCACTCTGGCTGCTGTGTGGGAAATGGAGTAGCAGAGGGAGAGGATGGGAGCAGGGAGATGAGTTATGAGGCATTTTAATAGCCCAGGTGAGGGACAGTTGTAGCTGGAGGAAGGTAATGAGGGAGCTGGGTTAGGCTTCTTGGAAAAATACTTCCATGGTAGAAAAAGTTGGTGAAGTAGTGGATGGTGGGGGGAGGGGAAGTGAGGGAGGTAGCAAGAATGATTCCATGTTTCTGTATTGGACGTGGGATGGGTTAAAGGGCCATCCATGGAGACAGGCATGAATGAAGGAAGAGCATGTGAGAGATTTCCAAGGGCTGATGTTGGCTGAGCAGCTGGATGGAAGGGTCTGGAGCAGTGAGATGATGTCAGGTCGGGAGATGTGATTTGGGAGCCGCTGATGTTTGGGTGCATTTAAACCCTGGGGATAAAAGAGATAAAAGAGATAAAAGAGATTCCCCTGGGGAGGGAGGGAGTGGAGCTCAGAACCCAGCCTCAGGGATCTTAGAGGAGGAGGAGCTGACAGAGGAGCCAGAGAGGTCCGAAAGGGAGTGATAACGGGACAAGGCCACATGGTCACAGAAGCTTCAGCAGGTGCCCTGTGGCAGGGTTCAAATAGGATGACGAGTGAAGGCAGATGTAGAAAGGTTTACCGATTTTAGAGAAAATCCCATCTGGTGGCTTCAAGAAGCTATGAGATAAGGTCATAGTGAGCGTGAGGAGGGAGTGTGAGAGGGGAGGAAAGTAGGAGCAAGGCCCTTTCAGGGCTGTGCTGCCCACTGAGTGGCTGCTAGCTAAAGCCCAGATGTGGAATATTTCCATCATTGGGGGCATGCTGTTCTAGAACGGGGTTCTCAGGTGCCCTCCTTGGCCCATCTTTGGCATCATCTGTGAACTTGTTAGGGCTTCCTGGGTGGTTCAGTGGGTAAAATATCCACCTGCCAATGCAGGAGACATAGAAGATGGGTTCAATCCCTGGGTCAGGAAGATCCCCTGAAGGAGGGTATGACAACCCACTCCAGTACTCTTGCCTGGAGAATCCCCGTGGACAGAGGAGCCTAGCGAGCTACAGTCCACAGGGTCACAAAGAGTTGGACACACACAGTGAGCTTGTTGGAAATGCAAATTCATGGACTCTGCTTAGACTATGGGATCAGAATCCAGGAGGGATGGGGCCCAGGAAATTCTTAACAGGCTTTCCTGATGATTCTTACAGACAGATGTTAAAGTTTGAGAGTCTCTGTTTAGAGAAGATGGTGTGAGTGAAGCGAGGAAGGATGGAGGGGTTCTCCCAGCAGAGAGAAGAGCCTGGGAAAGCAGGCCCCATGCAGGAGTCAGCTGCACAAGGGGCTGAGCACACAATCTCCCAGTGGCCCACACCCTGTGGGCAGCATCCCCTCTGTCAGCTGCAGGAATTCTCTTCTCTGGGCACAGCCCCTGCAGTCTGTGGCCTGGGTGCTGTTGCTGCGGGGTCTCCAGGCTGCCCCGCAGGCCAGCATCAAGGCTACCCTCTGCCTCCAGAGTCTCCCCTTTGCTGGGACACCCCTTCCCATCTCAAGGAACCACTTCTTGCTGGGAGGCCCATGTAGGAGCAGGGAAGAGCAGGCATCTTTGGGTACTCAGACACTTCAGGCCTGCAGACCCCTCAGGATGGGAAGTGCTGGGCATCTGCCTGAGTTACTGCAACTCCTGAATGAGTTAAGATTTCCAAAGCACTTAGAACAGTGTGGGACAGGAGTAGGGGCTCTATCCATGTTTCTTAAATAAATAAAGCCTACCGCCCTGCTTGGCCTCAGTCTACGGGTCAGGTCGGGGGAGTAGGGCTGGGGGAGTGGGGTGGGGAGATGGAGGGATCCTTGTGGGTTCCTTCCTTTCCTCACATCAGGCCTGGGCCTTCTTTCCTCGTGTGACCCTGGGCAGTCCCCGCAAGGAAGGAACAGGGGAGGTGGCCGGGCACAGGAGGCAGAGGTCCCCTCCCCCCAACCGCAGGGAGAGCTGGAGTGGAAGCGGCCTTGACCCACGGGGTGGGTGGAGGAGCCGGCACAGAAAACAGGCGCCCGCCTTGTCGACATTCCAAGCCCTGTAGGCCCCTTTCTTCCAGGGCTTGATTTCCCACTTTTCCTGTAAAGCGTTTTCAGTGTCGGTCTCTACAACGCATCTTACATGTTAAGAATGGCCGTAACGACGTCTGCCTCTATGGAGGGGCTCCTGGCCGCCTCGAGGCCAGAAGCCCCGCTCAGGCGAGCGTGGGAACGCGGAGCTGGGCGCAGATCCCAGGCAGCAGGGGACGCGGGGCCGGGTGAGGCGTCTTCTGGTCTCGGCTGCCCTCTGGTGGCGGCCTTGGGCTCCAGCCGGCGAGCTCCGCGCGGTTCGGCCCTCCCCACCCACTCTCGTCCCCGCCCCTGCAGAGGAGTACCAGTGCACTGGCATCCTCGAGGTGGATTTCGCTGAGCTCTGCACGCGGTGTGGCTACACCGACTTCCCCAAAGTGGTCACCCGCCCCCGCCCGCAGCTGGCCTTCGCCCCCTCGGCCTCTACGTCGGAAAAGCCCACAGTAGGTGAGTGACTGGAGCCGCCAGGGTGGTCTGCCAGGGCCGCCGCGTCCATCCCCAGCCTCCCATCGCACGGCGGGCGGAATGGCGGGGACGCAGGGTATTGTGCGTGTGACTGAGGGGGCTGAGTGGGGAGGCGCGTGTGGGGGATTGTTGCGGGGGCTCTCTTGTCTCTCCGTGGGGGCTGTCCCGCCCTCTCTGGCATCCTTAGGTTGGCCGGATCGTGGGGCCCGGGGCTGTGCCTCTGTCCTCTCTCTCCTTCCCCGGCTCCTCGCATCCCTCCCTGCCTTCCAGATGATCAGCGGCTGTCGGGGTCCTGCAGCCTCAACAGCCTGGAGAGCAAATACGTGTACTTCCGGCCCACCATCCAGGTGGAGCTGGAGCCCGAGGACAAGTCGGTGAAGGAAATCTACATTCGCGGTGAGGCCTCCTCTGCGCACTGCCCCTCCCACCCGCCGTCCCCAACCCCACCTTTCCCCTCCGGCCCGAGGTGCCTTCCTTCTCTCCCTTCCGCAGGTTGGAAGGTTGAGGAGCGGATCCTGGGTATCTTCTCGAAGTGTCTGCCCTCCCTCAGCCAGCTGCAGGCCATCAAGTGAGGGGACATGGGGATAGGGGACCGGGGCTGGGGGAGGGGCAGGAGGCTAGTGGGGGCGGCAGGCTCCTAGCGGCCTGGAAGATAGAATGGAAGCGGCATGGGGGAAGCGGGCAATGAGGAAGGGTGTGGCTGGGGTATCACGGGTGGCTGGGGAGGACAAATGGGAAGGAGGTGATGCTCCAGCTGCGATTCTGTGCTTCCCACCGTTTCCAGCTTGTGGAAGGTGGGGCTGACTGATAAGACCCTGACTACTTTCATCGCCCTCCTGCCTCTCTGCTCATCCACGCTCAGGTCAGCAGAGGGGAACAGGCAAGTGGGGAGGAGACCTGGGTAGACAGGCTGGCTGGGTGGTTCGAAGGGAGCAGTTTGGGAACAAGGGGGACAAGTTCCAGCTCCTGTGGCCTGGGCTGGCATCCCTGTGGAAAGCGGGTGCTGCTAGTGTCTGTGGGGGTTTTGAAGTTCCCATCTGACAAGCAGTGGGGTCCCCTTTTCTGTCTACACCAGCACCTAAAGAGCCTATCTTTGGGGCCTTATTTCATCTCCTGTCCATCAGTCCTGCCACCATCCACTCTCCCTGGTTCCTCACTGCTTGGGCTCTGACGCTGAACCAGGACTGGTTCTTCTCCTACAGGAACTAGCAGTCCTGTGAGGGAGGGAAAAGGGCATAGCAATGAATATTGCAGGGCAGTGTGGGGACTGTAGTGGTGGATGTTTTATGGGAGACATGGAAGGCTGCCTGGAGGAGGCGGTACTAAGCTGAGCCTTGAAGGAGGAATAGGACGAGGCCAGGTGGGGAACCAGAAGGGGCATTCCTGAATAGGAGGGAGTCAGAGCAAAGTGTGAAGTAATGACTACAGGCGTGGTTGTTGTAGAAAGAACACAGCTGATTTGGCTGCTCTTTATTGAGGCTCCCCTAGCACCCTTGACTTCTGCTTTACAGACCCTCCCACCATCACTGGCTGGCCTCCCCACTTGTCTTCCATAGATCGAAGAGATGCTTCTTGAGGGCAGGGCTTTTGTCTCCTTCAGCTGGAGCTCTTTGGTCATTCTGTCAGGGTAATTAGAAACAATTTAGCCAGCAAGGAAAAAAAAAAAAACAACTATTGAATTCATCTTAATATGTAAAAATGAGTCAGGTCAACATAATAAAATAATAAAAAATAAATGCAATTAGGTTCAGATGCTAGATGAGCCAGGCTGAAATGCTGGGCAGATAGCATGAAAGAAAAATTTTTTTTTTCCATGGGAGAAATTTTTTAACAGAGAAGTTTATAGCCATTAGTTCCATGTTTGTTGTGACTTGGAAAAAGACCTCCAACCTGTCAGTACTGTTGGAGAAGCCACTGTCCTGTGGCGGGGTCATGTACTGGGTAACTTGCTGTGTAACAAGTTAGTGCAAATTCTAGTGGCTTAAAACAACAGACGCTTATTATCTCACAGTTTCTGTGAGTTAGATCCAGGTGTCGGTTAGCTGGCACCTTTGGCTCAGGGTCTCGGTGGGGTTGCAGTAAGGCTGTTGGCTGGGGTTGCCTCATTTTGGGGCGGTGTGGGGTGGTGGTGGTGGAGCATCGGCAGCCAAGCTCACTTACATGGCAGCTGATTGGCTGCAGTGCCTCCACTTGTGAGCCTTTCCCTAGGTCATCTGGGTGCTCTCACCACCCAGCAGCTAGTACCAGAGAGCTCCCTAGTTGGAAACCACAGCCTTTCTGTAACCTAAACTTGAAAGTGACCTCTCATCACTTTGCCCTTTGCTTATTCATTAGAAGTGAGTCAGTAGGTCCAGCCACACTCAAGGGGAGAGGATTACACCGGGGCATGGATACCAAGAAGTGGGGACCACTGGGGTCATCTGAGAGGCTCCTGTACCATCTTAGAGGCTCCCGTCACTAACTCTGGAGAGTAACCCCTTCATATGGCACACTTCTGGATTTCTAGTCTGGAGAAGGGTCACAGATAATTTCCTGGGTCAGGGAGTTGGGGGGTGGGGCACGTTCCCAAGCTGCTGGCCGGAGCCCCACCCTCCCTCTTTGTCCCCTCCCCTCACCTGGCCTCAGTGGTGCCTCTTGGGTCTCAGCTCTCCCCCACCCTCAGGAAGGTGTCTCTGGAGGGGAACCCGCTGCCGGAGCAGTCCTACCACAAGCTCATGGCAGCAGACAGCACGTGAGACTCCTTTCCCTCACGCCCTTTCTCTGGGCTCGTCCCCCACCCCAAGTCATCCTTAGTTCCCACTCTGCCTTGTCCCTCTAGCACCTCCCCAAGGACCCTCAATTCCTCCACCCTCAGACCTGAACGGCCCTCCTCATGCCCGCAAGTTTTCCGAGGTTACCAGAGCCGCCCAGGATCCCAGGTTTCCCGTGACCCGCCTTCTCCCTCCCGTTGCCCAGCATCGCGCACTTGTCTCTGCGGAACAACAACATCGACGACCACGGGGCGCGGCTCCTGGGCCAGGCTCTGTCCACGCTGCACAGCTGCAACCGGACCCTGGTCTCGCTCAACCTGGGCTTCAACCACATCGGGGACGAGGGCGCGGGCTACATCGCGGATGTGCGTGCGCAGCGGGCAGGGTCCCGCGCGAGCTGCGGCGCCCGGGGCCAGCCGGCTGGCTCACTGCCCCTCCCCGCCCCCGCAGGGCCTCCGGCTCAATCGCTCCCTGCTCTGGCTGTCCCTGGCCCACAACCGCATCCAGGACAAGGGCGCCCTGAAGCTGGCTGAGGTGGGTGTGCGGGATGGGCGGCGCCGGGGAGAGACACCCGCTCCCAGTCCCCGCTCCCCGGACGGCTGATGGCGAGGTGCCGCCTTGCCCCAGGTCCTGCGCCCCTTCGAGCTGACACATATCGAGGTGGTGGAGCGCCGGCGCCTCCTGCTGGAGAAAGGTTCGCAGGAGCGCTCGCGATCGGTGAGGAGCGCCCCGAGCCGGAGAGCTGAACCGCTTCCCAGGTCGGCGCTTTCAGACGGCTGGACGTGTCCTAATCCGTCTTCTCTCCCTGTGTTGTGACCGTTTTTCTCTCTGACCTCGGCACACATCTAACAAAAGTTTGATCTCCAACCGCAGAGTCACTCCGCTTACGGCAGTGTGTGTTGGTTAAGAGAAAGGGTAGATTTACAGACCGCAGGGACTTGGAATCTGGCTCATCCACAAAACAGCTTGGGACCTTGGGCGTGTGACTGAACCTCTCGGGCCTCAGTTTCCTCATCTGTAAAATGGGGATAACTGTGTCTACCTCATAGGATTGTTGAGAGGATTAAATGAGTTGATTCAGCTAATGCACTTGGAAAAGTGCCAGGCACAGTTTAAAATGTTAGCTACAGTTTTCTCCCTCTATTAGTCGAAATGCCTTTCCTACACTCCCCACCCTCCCACCCCCACGCTCATCCCTGGATCCCTCTGCTATTTCTTCCCAAAATGCCCCGTAAGAGTCCCAAACAAATGATGGTAGCATTTAGGCGGGGAGGTTGGGATGCGGGTGCTGCCAGCCTGACTGCCACCCAAGCACAGGGTTTCCCCTCACCCCTCACTAGGGAAGGGGCACTGGCTTCTTCCTCTTCCATCCCCTCCCATTTGTGAGCACAGCCTTCCACCTCTCGGCACGGTGACTCCAAAACAGAGCGTGACAAGAATCAGCTGATGGGGGTCAGCAGTTTTGCATTGGTGGAGAAGGACAAGATGCAGACAGTGAAGACACCCAAGGGTCTGGGCAAGAAAAAGGAGAAGTCGGGGGTAGGTGTGCTGGGGGCAGCAGAGTCTTGGGCGCTGGAGGAATAGGGGAGGAAGCTTCCTTGCTAAACAAGTGGGGTGGAGGCTGGAAGGCCTTTGAAGGTCCATCTCAGGCCCAGGGTCCTAGTGCCGACCTCTTCTCACATCTGCTTCCCATCCCCCAGGGAGGTAGGACTCTCACCTCTCTTCTTACATCCCCCATAGGAAGTGGTGAAGAAAGAGGAAAAGTCAGGGCCTGGGCAGTCACCTACACAAGGAACTCCTAAGAAAGAAGACTCCGCAAAGGCAGGCAAGGGGAGTAAGTGCTGGCACCCGCCTGCAGGTCGCTTGGCGTGGACTAAGGAGGAGCCCCGGGCAGGATGAGGAGCCTGCCCTGAGCTAGTCTTCTTGTGGATGCTGTTGGAAACCCCAGCCAGCCCCACTCACTGCGCTCCACACTGTTTCCCTGGGCCGGACCCCTGTGGCTCCGCTCTCAGAGGAGGAATCCCCCTCCAGCTCTATTTCTACTGCACCCAAACCCACAGTGTGAGGAGACCCCTTCCTTGCCCCAGCCTTTCTCTCTGGGGAAACTGGGTGGTGTCAGAGGTCTGCCCTGTGCATTCTGGCTCCTCTTCCCACTCCAGAGGTGACCATCCCTGAGCAGAAACTAAGCAAGGGAAAGGGGGCCAAGACTGGGAGCAAAGAGAAGCGCAGCATCCTCATGGAGTCTGAGGTAGGCTGGGAGAAGTGGGGTGGGGAGCACATCCCTGGGGTCCAGGCGCCCAGCCCCTCGTGGGATGGTCTCCAGTCCTGTACTGTGGCAGCAGCCACTTCACCTGGCATTATGCCCTCCGTCCTGCCTGCTTCCTATCCCAGCCTGGGCTTGCAGGGGATCACAGAGCTCAGAGCCCCCTCCCCTTCTATTAGGAGCCCTGTTTTTTATCCTTGCCTCAACTCAATCTGCTTCCCAAAATGCCATCTGTTCATCTCCACCACACCCACAGCTTGTACATTTGCAGAGGGAAGAGAGCACGTTCTTTGGCCCTGCCAGCAGCTCCCCGGGGAGGCAGGCTGTTCTCCTAGTCGTGGTATTGCCCTCACCCTGTGCGCAGCACCTTGAGACCCTCTCCCCTTTGCCCTTGCAGCCTCCCTTTTCTCTTTCAACGTGGACCAACTTGTCCCTTGCTTTGAAAACCTTCCTGGACTGCTGACTCCGTAGCGCCCGCCCCCCACAGTGAAGTCAGCTGCCCAAGGGCTATGTGCACTTACACAGTCATACATTGGGGCATTGTGCTTTGCTTCACTGCGATTCAGATACTGCATTTTTTTTTTTTTTAAACAAATTGAAGGCTTGTGGCAACCCTGCATTAAGCAAGTCTTTTGGTGCCATTGTTTTTTTTTTCCCCCAACAGCCCTTGCTCACTTTGTGTTTCTGGGCTACATTTTGATACTTCTCTCAGTATTTCAAGTTTTCTCATTATTATTAGTTGTTATGGTCATCAGTGATCTTTGATATTACTACCCTGATTCTCTGACGGCTCAGATGATGGTTAGCCTTTTTTTTTTTTTTTTAAGCAAGAGTATTTTAAAATTAAGGCATATACCTTGCTTTTAAAGACATAATGCCATTGCACATTTAGACTGTAATATAAACATAACTTTTATATGCACTGGGAAGCCACTTTATTGGAACCGAACCCACATCTCCAAGGTATGCCTGTGTTCCAAGACCTCCCCACCCTAGGCAGGGACCGGCCCCTCCCCTGGGAGTCTTCTCTAGGACCCAAGATCATCTTACAAAAGGGGGAAGTCAGGTGGAGAAAGTGAGCAAGGCTTGCCTCTCAGTGCAGGTTTTCGGTCCCTGCCTCAGCCTTGACCCAGGCTGCTGTTTCTCCCCAGGATGATTGCATTTTCCTCTCATTCTGCCTTCAGCATCATCTCCCTGCAGTCCCTCATCCTCATTGCTCTCCCTGTTAGGAAATACTGAACTTGAATGCCAACACTATTTCACACCTCTGCACCTATTGGCACTTCCCCCATCTGATAAGGACCACACACTACCAAGACGCCAGCTCCCAGGCCATCTCCTCCAGGATAGACTGCTCCCAAGCCTGGCTAGCTGTCCCGCCCCTGTGGCCCCCCCAGTTCTGCTTCCCTCTGTTAGCTCCAACACCATACTGCATTAGTCTCAACTCTGGCTTCCCCACACAGAGCTGCTTCTTGAGGGTATGGGCTTAATTTATCTTTGTATCTCCAGCACTCGGGACAAAGCCTGGACTATAACCGGCCCTCAAAACATGTATGTTGAATGAATGAATGAATGGCCTGTTGACCAGCTCCCCTCTCCTCTGCTGCAATTAGTATTCTGCCTTAGCAGCTGGTTGGGGAAGCTACTGAGATGGTCAACCCTCTCCTGGAGCCTGTGGAGCACCGCGATGGCAAAGTTTTCATGCCTGGGAACAAGGTCCTCTTGCACCTCAATCTTCTCCGTACGTTTGCCAGTGCCCCCTGCTTCCCTCAGCAGGCTAGCTGGGCCCCAGGCGGCCACAGGGTCGCCTGCATGCTGCTCCATGGAGCAGAACCTGGTTCTCCAGTGGTTGGGCAGCATGTGAAGGCCCTTTTGCATGGGGCTTTGGGGCGGGGTCGGGTTTGGGCTCTGGGTCAGGCAATTAGAGAACAGAGAGGAGCAAGATGAAAGACTGAGGGAAGTAAGACAAAAAGGAGAATTGGGGTGAAGGACCAGGTTGGGTGTTAGTCCGGGAGAGTGAGCTGGAAGAGCAAGGGGCTAGTGGGGTGTCGGCACGGCGGTGGTTGACGCTCAGAGGCCACCTCGTCTACTCCTTCCACCAGGAAACCGCATCACAGAGGTGGGGCTGGAGGCCTTCCTCACCGTGGTGCAGTACCAGGCGCAGTTCGCCAAATCCAAGAGCGCGTGCAAGGGCCCCGTGGGGCTGCTGTGGCTGTCCCTGGCGGTGAGTCCCCTTCAATCTCTCCTGCTCTCTCTCTCCATTTTCAAGGCAGGCCCTCTAGTTTCCCTGTCCTTTCATCACAACACAGCCTTCATCCCTCTCGCTGTGAGATCGGCAGTCAGGCTCCTTTTTGCCTTTTTCCCCGTGCCCCCCAGCCCCTAACCCATCTTGTCCTAGGAGGTGATTTTTCCTCGGGTGATTCATCGTCATTGCTTTTGTTAGCTATCAGCGTGCCTTTCCTTCTTCCAGAAAAACTGCTTCTCCCCACAATGTCCTGCGTACACTATGATTCAGGAGCTGATGCTGCCAAGGGACCCCATCAATAAATCCAAGCACAAAGAGGAGGAGCCCGTGGCTTCTTGCACCTAGCCCCTGCCCCCTGCTTTTCCCAGAGACTCTGGGCCATGGAAGTACCTCCTTTCCACGTGTGGGCTGGACCTCCCTGGGGGAAAGCTCAGATCATTAACAAAGCCTATTGCTGTACTTCTTTTCCTGAGTTTGTCTGAAAGCTTTGTCCCAGAACTATTCAGAATATTTGGACTTTATGCCTGTTTGAAAGTGTGTTAATATGGCCAGAAATGGCCAAATCGCTTTTTCTGCTGGGGGGTGATCTCAGCTCCTCTGGTTGTGGCCGGCCAGGGGCATTGTTCTCCCGCCTCCTCAGGACCTAGTTCTCGCTTGCCCAGCCTACAGTCACCCCCTACTCCCCCACCATAGGACACGTGATATGCCAGGGTTTGCAGTGTCTCTGGACTTAGAGGCAAAAAGAAAAGTCTTGGGAGAGTAGCCGACAGGCACAGCAGAGGGGAAGAGTGGGTGGGGCAGAAGCACGGCGTGCAGGCTCCACCATTCCACCTTCTCAGACCCCTTCCCACTCTGGACTGGTTTGGAGGAGAGGCAAGGGCTCAGCTTGTGAAAACATGCTGAGCTAGTACGCTGCTTTGTTTGGAGAGGGTGCCGAATCTCTCATGTTTGTAGCAAAGACAAAGCACTAAACGTGAACCTTGATGACACTGCCTACTGCCGTCAGCGACCTGAAACCAGAGCCACCCAGCTGGTGCCGGGGGCAGGAGAGGTGCTGCCCCCCACTGAGATGGCCTGATCATGCCTCCAGAGCCCAGGGCTGGCTTCTGGGGAGCTGACATTCACTCTTCCGGAAGTGCCTGAGAAACGTCCCTTCTTCACCTCTGAGCACATCTAACCTGGTCACATCCTCTCAACCCCCACTCCCGTTTCCATTGCCTCAACAGAGATCTGCTCTCTGTGCCTCTCTGTGAGGCTCTGTGGCCCCCACAGTCCCCTCCCTGCCTCCATCCGCCAGCACTGCTACTTGGCCTCTTGGCAGCTGGCCACTGAGCTACTGCACGGAGCAGCTCTCTGAATCTGTCCCGTCACCCCAGCCTCTCCTGTTCCCCCTGCCTGAGGCCTTCTAAAGCTTCAGTGGAGCCTTACAGCCCTTGTACTCATCCCTACACTTTATCAAGAATGGCTCATGTATTCATTCTGATGCCCAGACTGTAAGCTCCCGAGGTCAGCACTCAGCATTATGCTGGGTTTAGGAGGTAAAACAGGGGAAAGAGCATCAGTCCCTCAGTCCAACAGTGACAGCGAGAGGAGGTCTGAATGGTTATAGTCCTGGGGACACGGCCGTGTCTGACGGGCTGCTTCCGGAGGGCGTCAGAGCTTGCTCGAGGACTCCGAAGGCATCTGGCCAGGCCTCAGAGATGACCCTCCCCTGTGTCCCACAGCTCGCTGAGGGCAGCCTGTGAGGGCTCTTGACTCTGGGACCGCTGCTCCTTTGCATGTGTGTCTAAACTGAGATGAGTGTCTTTGTATGTCTTAGCCGCAGGGGGCTGTATCACTTGGTTTCCCCAGCTGAAGTTCAGCAAGTGCACCCTGGAGCTTCGGGAGAGAATATGGCGAGGCCTGGGTCTGGGGGCTGCGTTCCGTTCCTTCTATCCAATGCTAACCAGTCTGAGAGGGAACAACTACAGTATCTTTGATTACAGTGGTTCCAATAATCACACATATACCACCACAGTTGAAGAATATTTAACTTTTCTTAAAAAAAAAAAAAAAAAACTTAACCATGAAAGGAAGAAAATAAAAGAGTATACATTATTTTAACAGCAAAACAGTCATTTCCATATCTATATTTTATATATTATATATATATTTATATATATATATGTATATATACACCTGGCACAGTGTGTATATTCTATAGTCAGTGGGGGGTGGAGTGGATGTGGTAATGGGGGCCAAGGCTGTGGTAGCCCCTGGGGGTGGTCCTAGGTTAGTTCAGGGACTCCAGCATTCAACCCCCTACCCCTCTCCTGGCGCTCAGTTTTCAGCTCTGTACCTGATACACTGGTTTTCTACAAGGAGAGGGTGGGGAAAGGCGGACACAGGTGGGGTAAGAAATCCCCCTGAAGATGAGAAGTCTTGGGAGGGAGGGAGGAGCTCAGCACAGGCCTAGGAGGCTGGAAGCTGGAGGCCTCAGGGCTGGCTCCACCTCTGGGCCCTGATCCTGGAGCTGGGCCACTAACTAGGAGATCCCAGTGAACCTCCTGTTCCCTTAGCGGCCCCTCCGTAACTGCCTCCAGCGCTCCAGGACCAGAAACAAAATAGGGTGAAGTTATTTACAATGGCAAAGATACACATACAATACATACATATTTATAGGAAACCAAAGTGACAAAGAGGAGAGGAGGAGACACCCACCCCAGCCTGGGGTCCTGTGGAGAAGGGAGGGAGGAAGAAAGTGCATTTACACGGGAGCTGCCTCCTTACACTCACACTGGCTTGTCTGAGGGCACCCACACATACAGGCGCGCACAAGTGCGTGGGGACTAGGGGGCCTTTCAGATGCAGTCTGCATGCTTAGGAGACAGGAGGCCGTGATGGGTGGGCCGAAGGGAAGGGAAAAGACATTGAAACTTGACTCCAATCTGAGCAGACCAAGCAACATGCGATCTCCCCCAGGTCTCGGCTGGAGCCTTCTCAGCCGCTCACTGCGGTGAGGAGGTCTGGGGTCTCCCCACCCCATGCCCTGCCTCAGGCCAGTCCCTAGCGGAGGAGTGGGGATGTGAGGAGTCAGTGGTTCCGACAGCTACGGTCCTGGGGATGTGGCTGTGTCTGCCGTGCCGTCTTCCAGCGGAGTGGGGCCTGTGGGGAGTGGGGATGGTGGTGAAGAGCTGGCCTCTGAGAAGACGACCCTCCCTCCATGTTTCTCCTGGGCAGTCCTCAAGCCTGTGAGAGCAGCTCTTCAGTGCCATCCTTCCGTGACAGGCGTTCTCCGCCACCAGAAACCTCAGTTTCTTGTGGGGCCTGAAAGGGGCTGTCTGCTGAATCCCACTTCTGTTTTGTTGGCCCCCAAACCCATGGGTAGGTATGGGTCTGCCTGCCTGAGCAGAAGCACAGCCGTGGCCCCAGCCCACACAATCTACTTCTGAACCACTTATTAAGGACGGGTTTTGGATGTGAGACTAGGTTCTTCCTGGTTGGTTATCTCCAGAATCCAAGAAAAAAGAGGGTTCAGTTCTAAGGTTCCCACTTTTAGGGGAGCTTCCTCTTCCTGAAGCTGAGGAAATGAGTGAATAAGTTGTACTTGAGGGGAAAAAAAATGAGACCCCTTCTCAGAACTCCCCCATCTTCTCATAGCCCTGTGGTGATGTTTCCTCAGGAGCCGAAGGCCTTCTCCACGCGCCCTCCGCCCTGCCCCTGCCCCCGCCAACCCCAGAGGACCTCACTCACCGTCCTCAGGACAGGGCCCCAGTTCGCGGCTGTCCATGGAGTCAGAGGCCGGGGGCTCCTTGGCTGGAGGGGAGAGGGAGCTTTCTATCCATCTAGCTGCCTCTGTGTGGAAACTGCCCACAGGTGTGGTGCCGCCAGATGACTGACCCCCGAGGGACCTGAGCAGCTCTCTGTGGGCCAGCTCCATGTCCTGGAAGAGTAGCAGAGGGACATCTGCTCTCCAGCCCCTCTGGGGAAGAGGCTGTGCTTGAGGGTGGTGGGGCGGGCTGAGAGCAGAGCCCCAGGCCAGGATCTAGGGCTCCTGCGGAGACAGCTCTTGTGGGTGATGGGTCTCGGGGGATGGCCTGCACCTCTGGGGGCCTGAGCCCTTACCTTGAGCCGGTTGAGCTTGAGGGTAAGCTGCTCGATGGTGCGGAAGATCATGCCCACGTCCCTGAGGGCCAGACTTGGGGGAGAGCGGCCGGGGCGCTTTTGATCTCCATGGCCTCCCTGGAGTGGGGGCTGAGGCTCCGTCTGCCAGGCAGGGAGGCCGTCAGGCTGGGAAGGGCTCATGTGTGCTCCTGACGCATCAGTACTCGAGTCGGGGGGTCCTGCTGGCATGCTGACGTAAAAGCAGTTCCCTGGCCCCAGCAAGACAAAGAGATTAGGAGGCAAACAGAGACGTCTAAGCCGTCTTCTGCTCCCCCAATGTCTCCCAGGCTGACCCATGGGCCCAGGGAAGCCATCTTGCAGATGAGCTCAGAGCAGGTTGGCCCCGAGCTGCCTACCAGTCTCCCAAAACCCTTCGCCTTGAGAACCTTCGAGATGCTGGTGTTGCCCAGTGGGGCCCACACCAGGGGGGAGACTAAGGAGCTAGTGGTGGAGGTTAAGGGAGAACGGGCAGGGTGGTTGTGTTTCTTCTGGGAAACCACAGTGGCCCCCATTCCATGAAGGAAAGGTGAAGAGGGGGGTGAGCTGGCTTTAGATGCTTCTGAAAGAGGTGGGTGGGCGCCTCCTTCAGCCCCATCTCAGGCTCTGCTGAATTTCAACACAGTCCCCTCCCCAAGAGCCAATTACTTGGTGATCTCTGCGATATCTGAACTCATCAGAGGGGGTCAGGGACAGCTAGAGAAGGATGCCGAGGGTCCCTGACAGGACAGTCAGCACAGGAATATGTCCAGGAGCCTGGAAGGCCTCATAAAACCTTCTCCACAGTGACCCTGATGGGTGTGGTGGCTGGTGTGCGGGAGAGGTGGCTCAGAACGTCAGGCTGGGGACACTGCGCTCCCCTCCCCCGCCTCCTGTGACGAAGCACAGCCGTTTCACTCCACCGCTCCAGAAGGGGCCTGCGCAGCTCGCGGAGAGGGGCTGGCACAGGTCTGCCCGCCACCTTTAGGCCCACGTCCTACTCTCCCTGATTCCAGTTGGGGGGCGTGTCCACATGACTGCCGGCCAGGGTCTAACACCGGAAGCCCAGCTCTGCCCTCAAGGGCTCCCACTCCAGCCCTGCCTGTCTCTGGCTCCAGGGAGAGGGTCGTTACCCGTAGCCTCTGCTCCGCCTTCCACTTCGGGTGGCTCAGGCTCTGACTGGCCACTCTCTGGCAGTGCAGGGACCGCCTTGCTGCCTGCCACCTCCGCTGCACCAACACCACCACCAGGGAGAGCAGAGAGGAGACAGGAGGAGAGGGGAGGGCGCCGGAGCAGGAAGGAGACGGAGAAAGAAGAGGTGGGTGTGGGGCGGGGTGAAGAAAAAGAAAAAGGGAAGAACACAGTGAACACAAGATCACACATGATTACACCCCGCAGAGCCAGAGAGAACTGCTCCACTGATTCACCAATTCACCAGAGGAGAGAGAAGGAAGGTCAGGTCCCAGAAACCCAGGAGAGAGTGCAGACCTCGGGCAGGTGGAGAGAAAAATGCTCCTGGAAAAGGAGGCAGAGCTGGGCACTGGGGGAGGAAAGGAGACCCCCTGGCACTGGTGTGGACGCCCTCCCACCCCCCGAGCACCCTGCGCTTCACTTCCTCCCCTGCTGTACTCCTCAGACCAGGCTGCCCTGACTCTTCCCTCTGTCATCTGGGCTCTGGCCAGACCTGCCCTGAGCCCCCGTCCCAGCCAGTCCTGGCTTTTCCTGTCTTAAACCGGGCCGCCCTAGCTCCCTGCTCATTCACCAGGGCCCGCCTGTCTCCACACGGCTCCCAGCCTTGTCCTGCAGCCCCTCCTCTTGGCTCTGCCTCCAGACCCACCCCGCCTCCGTCCCACACATCAGTGCCTTCCTTGCTGCTCTCTGGAGCCACCAGCTGCAGCCCTCTACCCATGTCTTTCTGGGGATGAAGATCCTGAGAAAAGGCCCACTTCTTAGGACTGCAAGAGCAGTGAAGAACACTAGCAGAAACTTATTGGCAGCTGACTTGTGCCACAGTGATAGCCTCATAACGCAGAATGAAGTCCAGAGGGGCTTCAGAATTTCCCCCAGGGTCACAGGGATATTACGTAACGGAGCTAGGACCCTGTACCTCGGCTGTCTGAGCCCAAAGCCTTTACATGATGTCAACATGTCTCCTTCCCCGGGATCCAGATAAGCCTCTGCACACAGGGCTTCCAGACGGGGCGGGAAGGAAGCAGCCAGCTGGAAGACTCAGTGCGCCCCCAGGGGGGCACCCCAACTTACTTTACCTTTTCTTACAACCTTGTAGCTTCCTGTGCCCTCTGTGCTCGAAGCTTCTTCCTCCGGATTCTTGTCTAGCTTGGGAGAGTCCCAGACCCCAGAATTCCTGGTCCTTGGGGGCAGCTGTTCCAGAGAACGCAGAGCCATGTCCTCCTGGGCTGGCTGGCTCCACTCTGGCCCCGAAAGTGGGGCATCGTCCCCCTCAGCCCCAGCAGGAGCTCGCCCCGGGGAGCCTGAGTCCCAGGGGTGCGAAGTGATGCTGATGACGGAGGGTGTAGGGGTCAGGTCATCCTCAGGCTCCCCGGCAGCTCGTGGGTCCGCGGGGTGAGCAGGCAGCAGGCTCCACAGGATCAGGTGCCGCAGGTTCTCCACTGGAGGGGAAGCAGGGCGATGGCTTCCTGGACACAGGACCACACACCCGGCCGTGGTGGGGGGCGGGGTGCAGGGGAGGTGGGGGCTGCGGCTCCCTTCTCCCACCCCCGACCTGGTGACACTACCTCTGCAGTCACAGGGTGGAGCTGGGGGGCCCTGGCCAACCAGCTGGGGGGTGGGGTGGAGGCCAGGGTTGGGGGACAGGAACAACAATGTCTCTCTGCATCCTTCTCTCCTGGAGCACAACTCAGGGAGAGTCTCTGAGCAGGCCGAGTAGGGTATCTGCCTGTTGACACCGGCCAAGCCGCTGGGGCACTGGGGGCTGACAGTCAGGGCCAGGAGGCACTCACCGTCCTCCAGGGCTGCATCGGCGAGTCCTTCCATGAACAGAGGGCCCGGGAGGGGCAGGAGGATGGGGTCCCTGGTCCTGCTCCCCCTGTACTCGCTGTTCAGCGAGGCAGAAGGGTGAGGCAGGGCTCCCAGCTCCTCGTCCTCCACGCTGCCCTCCTGCTCAGCATCTGCCAGCAGGGCCGAGTGCTTCCCTTTGGCCCTCGGCTGGCACCCCATGCCTGTTTCGGATGGGAGGACAGTGTAAGCAGGGGAAGAGGGAGGGCATGGACGGGCTAATCCCAGGTCCAGCTTTGGGTTCAAGGGGCTGGGAACACTGACTGATTCATTCCACAATGTTTACTGAGCCTCAATCATGGCCAGGCACTGTCTCAGGCTCCTGGCACACATCAGTAGAAAAAAAACAGAGATCCCTGCCCTGTGGAACTTAAATTCTAATTGACAAACATAGAGAAAAAGAAAATAAGTAAATTAACTACATGAATTAGCTAAGAAGTGCGATAGGAAAGAAAAAACCATATGCGGGGGTATGGGAGATCAGGAATGCTGGTATTAAACCGAGTGGTCAAAGAAGGTAACTTGGTGCAAAGCTGACAATCTATCTGCACAAAGACGAAGTGGGGCGGGAGTTAGGAGAAGCATTCAAGTGGAAGGAAACAGAAAACAGACCCAGCCAGGGAACTTACCCACAGAGATTTCTCTCTAAACTCGAGGCGATAAGTTACTTCACATTAAAAACTCACCAAGAGTTCTGTCTGGGACCCTGGTGCCCCTGTCGATCCTATCCTAGTGACTGTCTCTGCAGCCCTCTGAGCTCCACTGCCCACCCCCATCCTCAGGATTCCTGTCCCAGCACATCTCTAAGGGCATCTCGTTCTCCATTAGGAGCCCCAAGACTCTACCCGCCTGCCCCCGCTTCCTCCTCAGGTGGGAAGTTCTGTTCACTTGAGCCTGTTCTCTCCCCTCTTCTAGACCTCCTTCCTCATTCTGTTTTTCTCTGTTCTTATGGCCCTTTATGGCTCTCTCCCATCACCCCCAGCCACCTCCTTACCTGTGCCTAAGGGAAATGAACTGGGTCGGCCCCCCAGGGACAGCTCAGGGCCTTACCTGCAGGGGCTACCTCAGGCTCCGGTTCACCGTGGAACACCTCGGAGTCATCCGGTCCTGCCCTGCGGGGAGAACAGTCAGGGTGAGGGAGGCCCACCCGCCTGGAGTTCTGGCTCTCTGCCAGCTGGGAGGTGGCCGCGTCATGAAATTCCACTCTGGCCTCCTGAGTTCACATGGGCAATGAAGGAGCAGGGCCCAGGAAGGCAGTGGTTTAGATTTCAGACCTGCTGTCTGGTTAGCAACCTGGACAGGAGGGTGGGTGCTGGCCAAGCTTCTCTTGGTCCTGATTCTACCCCCTCGCCCTCACAATGCAGGCACAGTCTGAGCAGGGCAATGGGGGGGAAGAACAGGCAGGGCCAGAATGTGGAGATGTGGGCAGACCTTACTCCACCTGCCCGCTAACATCTGTCAGCTGAGGCTGCCCAAACCCAGGGGTGAAGTGCTCAGAAGCAGCAAATGACTGGCCTGGAGTGGGGAAGGTGACGGGCCCAGAAGGCTGCCCACCTGCTGGGTGTGGGGCTCTGGTCGGCTGGCTCCTGGGGGCCTGGGCGCGGGGGGTGGGTGGGTGCTGGGGCAACTCCGGGGAGCCTGGTGGCATTCCGAACAGCCTCTTCTAAGAGCTCCATCCACCTGTTGCTCAGCAGGAAAAGAGAGGTCTGCTGGTGAGAACAGGACAGAGGAGCACAGTGTCTCCCCTACCCACCCCGAGCCAGGGCTGCGAAGCCCTTTGCTAGAACCTGCCCTAAGGACCCTCTGCCCAGTGGGGGTCCCGCCTCCCGTGCAGTTCTGACTAGCTGCCCCGCTTGGGGCAGGTTTATATTACTCACAGCTACCAACTGCTGAACACCAACCCTCTGTTAGGCTCTGCGCTCTGCATTCTGAATCTGTTCTCTCTCAACCTAGCTCCCAAGAGGCAGCACTATCCACATTCACAGATGAAAGCCCTGAGAAACTGTCTAACCCAATCCGTCTCTGGCCTCTGGGTCAGACAGGCTACTACTGAGGCTGGCTACTGCCGGGAATATGGGCGGGTGGATGCCGGGGGGTGGAGATGACAGTTCTGGAGGCAAACACCTTTGAAGAATGTGGGCATTTAAAATACTTGATGGAGGAAGAGAAGAACCCAGGGGAAGGGAGTGGGGCTAGAGAAAGGAGAGGAGCAGCGGATTGGCTGGAAGACTGCTGGTAACACCTCCTTCCTTGGACAGGCCGCTCATGGGGTCAGGAACGGTGATCCCGAAAGCCTCTCTGCATCTGTCTTATCTCCCTCTTCTGTGCCAAGGCCCCATCCTCTAGCCACTCTGGGCCCAGTCCTGGTCTCACTGTCCAAGTCCTCACACACCGCCCTGGTCCCACGGGGATGGCAGTTACGCGGGACTGCCTCGCTTCCCAGCAATCCTCACGTGTTCTTGTCCGATGACGTCAAAGCCACCAGCTCGTAGATCTGGGGTGGGCCCAACTCCGAAGTACAGATGATGAAGAAGGCCCGTTTATCTGTGCAGAAGAGAGAAGCAGAAGGGTCTGTACTGGGGGTGGCAGAGGCATGACTGCAGCCTGGGTTGGGTGACAAAGTGTGGACTTGAAACCCTGACTCTCAACCAGATGCAGAATGCAGCACTAGTGGGACCAAGGTCATTGGGTTCCACTTACAGGAAGGACAGAGGCTATTCTGGTTCCTCTAATGCCATCTTCATAGTCATTATCTCCCACTTCCCTCACAGTGAGGGCTGAGGGTTACAAAACTACATCACACCCATCCTCCCTTTTCACCTCCCCCTAAGAGACAGGCATCACTCCCCATGATACAGTTGAAGAAAGTGAGCCCAGAGCCCTTCTGGTACATGCTCCACGTCTCACTAAAGTGCTCCGAGCACTGGACTGGGCTCTGGACTGTGGGTGTGAACTCCGCCTGTCCCTCCTGCAGCAGGAAGGCATGTCCTGCTCGTCTCTGCCCAGTTCTGCTTCCTCATCCTCAGTCCACCCTAGGTGCTCACATCCCATCCGGCCTGCACCAGGCTGTCCACCTTAGTCCCCATCCCACCCCAGACTGAACCACACCTTCCTGCTTAGATGAGTCAGGGTGGAAGGAAAGTCACACGGGCAGGCCAGTAAGTTCATCACCCAGTGCTCACTGGACATGAGTAGCAGGGCGCATGGCCTGGGACCTGGGCCCGCTGGGACCGTCTCCTCACGGGTACCTGTGGCCACCGAGCGGACGAGCACGGCGTTGAGCTTGAGCACGGGGCTGAAGGTCTGCTTGCTGTCCACGGAGCCCACGGCCGTCTTGCTGTGGCACTTGAGCAGCAGCTTCTCGTCCTGTTTCTGCAGCAGTACCAGGAGGTCCTCCAGCAGCAGCACATGGAGGTCTGGAGGAGGGTGATGTTTGTGAGGGGTTCCCCACTGCCTGCTCAGCCCTCACCAACACCTGGGATACCAGAGGCTCCTGGATGGTGGTCCTCAGGGTCTGGGAAGCCCTGGAGTCTGGTGACCTCCAACTGCTTGGTTTTTGGTCCTTCCTCCCCATGCTGTGCTTAAGGTGCCCTGAGGTCTCAACCCCAGTGGTGTTTGGAGCTGCCTCCCAGCTACCTTACCGCCCTTAAGAGCACCAGGTACAGGGCTGATGATCCAGAGAGGAAGAGCCCGGGTGATGCCCTAGATTCCCTCTTGGTCCCAGGCCCCTGGCGCTTACCCAAGGTCTTATCCTTGCTGATCCTCCAGGTCAGAGGCCCCTCATGGATCATCTTTCTGGTTGTAAGATCCAAACTCTGAGAGAGAGACACCATTCATTCAACAAGCATCTGAGAACCCAGACTCTATGCTAAGGTGCTGGGCATCAGTGGTGTGAACAAGAACTAGTCCCCAGCCCTCACACTCTTGTGGGGGATGCAGACAAGTAAAAAGGCAACTGCAAAGTCACCAGCCATGTGCTGTGCTGGGGGATACACTGCGGGCCCTGCTGGGGGTTTCTCTAACCCCTACCACACGCTGTTGATCCTCCTAAGAGGGTCCTGCCCATCCCTTCAGCTTTATTTCCTCCCAAATGGCCTTCACTTTACCTCGAGTCCATCCCCACCTCCCGCTCTTGCAGGCTGAGTTCTCACACCCGGCCTCTGTAGTCGGGCTGTCTGCCCTTGTCTATCCAGGGACAAGGCGGCAACAGTCGCCGGTGCTGTGTCATTCTGGGGCCCTCATCACACGTCCTTGTACACATGGGCACAGGTCTCCTCCCGCAGTACTCTCCAGGTCCTGGGTGGACTGCTGCTCCTAAAGAGGCCCAAGAAGCATGTGTGCCTGTGGGGCTCTGACCTTGAACTCTGCTGCCAGGGGGTTGCTGGCCCTCTCCAGGGAGGTGGTGTCCAGGCGCTTCTGGTAGCCTTCCAGGCGGTGCCGGTTCTCCGTCTGCTTCACTGCTTCGTTCACATACTTGAGAATTTCCCGGCACTGGTCCCGGGCCCGGCAGAGCTTCTCGTGCTCAGAGGTGCCGCCTGCCCATGGGGTAACGAGGGGTTTTTAGGGCTCCTGCCAGACGAGTCTGCCAGAGCCTGACAGGAGCTGGCTACCGACACACATTAGCTGGCTACTGGGGCCAGCTAGTCACATATCACGGGGGTGGGTGGCGATATGCCACCCTGCCTAACCTGGACCTCAAACATAAGGACGACATATTCTGAGGATCCATGGGCTTCAGACCTCTGCTCTGCAGACACTGATGGCTCTTAGGAACTCCTGCCTAGACTACAACTGGCCCTACAGGTGTGGGGACAAGGATGGGGACTGAGGGAGCGATGGCGCCTCCCTCTAAGAACAGGGGGTTGTGGGTCCTTCCCACTTCTCCACTCTGACGCCAACGTCTCCAACTTGAGGGTGGTGAAAGGTGCTCGGGATCCCAGGGACAGTGACGACGGGGCTAGACCCCCTATTCAGCTTGGTCCCGTACTCCTCTGGAGTAACTCGCCATGCTCGGCTGCCTTTTGTGCATCGAAACGCCCCCAGAGACGTCCAGCAGGGGGCATGAATGGGACTAAAATCCAGTCACAACCTCTGGTGCGGAACCATGCCCCTCAGAGGAGCCACGGTAGCCCGCGTGCAAACCCCACATCATCAGAGGCTCCGCTCCCATCTGCAAAGAGGCCCCACACAGGCCGGGGGCAGCCTGAACCTCCTCCTGTGCGGAGCACCTTATTTACTGCCAAAGTGCATTACAATGGTTGTCTTCTCTGAGACTGACCGCAATAACACAAGGATGAAGAGCCTCAGGACCAGAGAGGTCAAGTGACTTGCTAAGGTCACAAACAGGGCTGTGCCAGGACCAGGCTCTGGGCTACGGGCTGCTGCCTCCCAAGGCCAGGTGTCCGTGGGCCCTACCCTCCGTGTGCTTGATGATGTTCTCCAGCAGCAGCGGGTACTTGGTGAGCCGCTGCATCTCGGAGATGATGAGGTCTCGAAGCTGCAGTCGCCGGCACTGAGGGTGGCTCTCGGCCTCCTACATGGAAGGACGCACAGAGGGAGACGGCAGCCCGGGTTAGGAGCTGGCCTGTGGGCTCCGGACCCAAGGGACAGGACAAATGCTAAATAGGTCCCAATTCCAGAGAGTTACTCAGAAATGGTGGTGGCAGCTTCTCGCTTTGACATTTAGGAAAAAGCTGGTGGGGCAGGGAGACCACAGCCCAAGAAAGGGATATGGTCAAGCCACATAAAGCAGGGATTACTCCCACTTTATAGACAAAAAAACTGAGATCCATCTGCTCACCAGTAGGTGAGCAGGGCCATCTGATGGCAAGTCTGGTGTCTCTGTCTTGAGAGTGGGTATATGGCAGTGTTTCTGAAGAGGGGGCCTGGGGAGGGTGTGGATGGAACAGAGGTGCTGGTCACCAACCCTGGTAGAGAGAATAGGCCAGGGTGCCTGGAGCTGGGGGCCAGCGGGTAGTCTGAGAGATGGTGGGTGGACCTGGTAAGTTCTCCCCCTCAGCCTTACTGAGTTAAGACTGGACTGGCTGGTTTCGGCGGCGACAAGCAGAGGCCACGCGTACCTGCATGAAGAGCTGGAACCGGCTCTCCTTGCGCTGCCTGGTCTTGATCAGCTCCAGGGCGATGGACTGATAGGAGCAGAACTGTGCGGCCACTTGCTGGAGCTCCTCCCGGGCGGGGCCGTCGAACTGACAGGGAGAAGGGACACCACACAGCCCACCTCACACCCCTGCCTGGAACCTCTCCCCCTCTTCCTCCAAGGCCTCCTTGGGGCCTGGGCAGCCATACCCGAGCCAGCATGAGGTCACTGACTTCTTTGATAATGGGGCCCTCCTCCCGGAGCTTCCTCATAGCTTCGCACCAGGAATCTGGGGCAAGGAGAGAAGACAGAAGCGCCTGGGGTTGAGCTGTGAGGCCAGGCCCTTGGTGACGGGGGAAGAGGGCTCTGAGGGTCATGCTGTGGGGGCAAGGTCTGGGAGCCACTTCACTCGTGGGGGAGTTGGAATGCTGGCCTCAGGTTGGGCATCAGGTTCTCCCACCAAAGAGTACGGGCAGGGGCTATGTGCTCGGGGGTCCTGGCATGTGGGCAGAAATCTGAAGTCTGGCCAGGGGAGGGGGTGGGCGGGGGGCTCCTTACTGTGGATCTCAATGAGCTCAGGCAGGTTGGGAAAGAGCCGGGCCAGCTCCTCGCGGGGCAGTAAGCCCTCCTTCTTCATCCGCTGGTAGAAGATCAGGTCCAGGACCCGGAGTGTACGCAGATGGGATGCCTCGGTCACGAACAGCTCTGAGCAGGTGAAGGGACAAGGAGGGGCAGAGAGACAGCAGGACAGCCATCAGCAAGGATCTACTGGGACCTCTCCTTAACGTCAGAATGGAGGTGGTCCTCACAGGAATCACAGCATGGGCCGGCCATGCCCCTAAGGCCCCACCCTCTCTTCTCTACCACCCTTTGTGGCCAAGGTGCTCTGCACCTGTTACCACACGAGTCAGCGTGGAAGCGGGGAGAGGCAGCTGGTCTCACCATTGATGACCTCCTGCCGGTCAATCTCCCTCTGGCTCAGTCTGGCCACCACGTCCTTGCCCACTGTGTGCTGCCAGTTCTGGGCATCTGGCTCTGGCTCCAGGTCAGAGAGCTGGCCCAGATCGTCTTCTAGCAGGTTGGGGAGGAGGGCGTCTGTGCAGAACCCCAAGCTGGGGGACTCGATACTCCTGGGGGAAACGAGGTGGCGGCTCAGTGTCACAGGAGGAAGAGGTCAAACGTGGGGTGTGTCCCCCACTCTCCTGTCCAACCTGCCTGTCCTGGGCCCTGGGAAACCAGGGGGCCAGGAAGAGGGGCTGCACCACCAACAGGCCAGCAGAAGGCACGGCTGGGTCAGGGACACCTAACAGAGACGCTGCTGCACCCATCACTCACCTGCGGCCCATTTTGGGGGTGAAGGGAGGTGTTGGGTTCTCAAGAGACCTGTGGAGAAAATGTCAGCTCTCAGCCACCCTCTGCGGCCTGGCCCCCAAGATACCAGTGGGCGGAGCCCTCCCCAAGCCCCGCCCACCTGGTGGAGAGGCTGGAGGCAGAGGAGGAGGCCGACTGGTGGAGGCGGGCGGCCTCCGCGGCGGCGTCCATGTCCACGTCGCTGCGAGAGCGGGGCACGTTCTCCGCCTTCCGGGACCGCTTCATCTCCTCCCGGCCCTTCAGGCTCTCGGAGCGGCCCAGGCGAATCTCTGAGCGTGAACTGGATGGAACAGCAAGAAACCTTGGGGTCTCACACCCGACCAGCTCTGACCTGCTGCTCCTCCCTCTCAGGGCCTGCCTCGGCACTGCAGGCTTCCACGCCAAACACCAGACCCAACGTGCCCAAACTCCCTGTGGCAGACGCTGCTCAGTGACAAACCGCTTTTACCACAGGCTCCTTCCTCTCCCCAGCCTGGCTTGATGGACAGAGCCTCTCATATTCCTCTTTTTAAAAAAATTTTATCTATTTACATTTTGGCTGTGCTGGGTCTTCATTACTATGCGGGCTTTTCTCTAGTTGAGATGTGCGTGGGCTTCTTATTGTGGCTTCTCTTGAAGAGCACGGGCTCTAGGGCATGCAAGCCTCAGAAGCTTCAGAGTTGGGCTCAGCACCTGTGGTTCCCAGGCTCTAGGACACAGGCTCAACAGTGGTGGCGGGCTTAGCTGCTCCGCAGCATGTAGAATCTTCCCAGACCAGGGATCGAACCCGTGTCTCACACTGGCAGGCAGATACTTTACCAATGAGCCACCAGGGAAGCCTTCATCTTCCTCCTGACTGATTAGAAAGGGATCCCAAGAGGAAGCTAAAATCCGGGACTTAATAGAATCAGACTTGTGGGGTGCCTGGATGCCAAAGACCCCGAGTCCCCATCAGGCTGCTGTGGACACCAAAGTCTATCACTAGGAACCATGAGGTCCTACCCTCCCTGACCCCGCCATCTCCTGGCCGGCCCACCTGGCCCTCTGCTCTGGAACGGCTCGGTGCCCACCATGGACTCTGCTCGAGGCAGAGCTCTCCTTTTACAAGATCTTCTAAGAGGGAAGTACAAGCACCCCCTGCACATACTCTTTAGCATTCTCCATACTGCCTGTCAGAAAAGTCTATCTGAATTCCCACCCCTCCAGTTGTGATGTGGATTGTGGATTTCTTCTGTTCTTATCCTGAGAGCATCCTTTCTAGGCTTCCAGTCCCCTCAGAGCAGAGCAGCTTGGAAGGGTACTTCAGGGGCATGCTTACTGATGGGCATGCTCCCTGGCCTGCCATTCTTGGCTGCTGAGTGTCTGTGGGGCTTGAGATGCTGACGACTGGGTGCTGCTCTTTTTCAAGTCCTGCAGTGCATCAGCCCTGTGACAGCTGGCATCTCTGACCCCTAGCTGCCCCAGGATGGTGCCTCCCCCCATGGCTCGGCTGGGCTGGTTCTCTGCTGACATTATTGCTAATCTATTTCCTGCTCTGCATCTAGGACCACAGAAGGCCTGGGGAGTCTGGAGAGCTCTTAATAGCACAGCAGACTGATGCAGAGAAGGAGCCAAATGGCTTGGTCTCCATTCATCAAGTCTCTCTGAACTGTCAAAGGATCCAAATGCTGCTCCCCTCTGGGTCCCAAGGGTTTGTCTGCAGGGTTAGAACCCATACTGTCAACTGATCCCCTACTGAACTCACTCCCTGAAGCCTGTTAGAACAATCCCAACACAGATTACCTCAAAACACTTGCACCAGTGCCCCACAATGGGTCACTTTAGCATCGCATCAAACCTTGTGCAATGAGGTTCCTGGGGCTTCTTTCAAGTACCCAGAAGTGAGTAATGATCCCATGAAGAAGGGAGGCATGCAACCCTTCTCTAGCCAAAAGTTCCTGTTACTGCTGTCTAGAATTGGGGGCTTCTTGTACCTGTTTAGTTTCTATAAAAACCTCTGACACACTATGCTGCCGATGTCATTTCTTCCAAGACTGTCAGTGAATTTATAATCGTCAAATCCAAACGCTTCTGCTAACAGTGGATTTAGGATCCTCACGAATGTCTAAGGGCAAATTTGCCTAACAACTTCAAGAATATGTTTACAAATGGTCTCAAATATTTCCTCAAAGTGCTGACAATATATCTTATAATTGTATATTTGATACATCTATAAGATCACACCTACCTCAGCAATCATATAGTTTGTATTAATTTACTCAATAATATTAGAACTCAACCTCTGTTGTTGTTTTGTTGTTTAGTTGCTAAGTTCTGTCCGACTTTTTGCAACCCCATGGACTGTAGCCCGCCAGGCCCCTCTGTCCAGGCAACTTCCCCAGGGAGGAATACTGGAGGGGGTTGCCGATTCTTTCTCCAGATCTCAGCCTCTGACCCCCGCACAAATCTAACCTTTATTTTGCCTAAATCTTTGTTGACTCTCACTATGGCAAAACCTTTTAACATATATTAAACTTATAAAGGTTTAGTATAAACAGAGCAGAGTAGCCCTGCACACAAGCAAGAATTTTGATAACTAGTTACTTCAGGGGTAAAATGAATGGTTTGATTGTGCAGGCTGACTCATGCCTTTGGGCCTGTGTATAGTCCAGCTCCGCAGTGTACACAAGAACTAGTTTTGTACACACAGACCACATTTATTATATCTCAAGTGTGACTTAAGGAAGGTGCAAGGATGTTTCTGACTACAGGCAGTTTTTACTTTAAGTGCTGGCTGTAGAATGTGAGCCCTAACTTGATGGTTGTCACGTCATAGTCAAGAGCAAGTGCAAAAGTACGTGTCAATGCCAGAGAAGGGTTCTGCTTAGAACCCGGCCAAAGATGGAGAACGTGCGCAGTACCACAGCCTCTGCTCCCCTTGTTCTTCTAGAAGAACAGTTCATTTTGAATCAATGGCCTTTGTATCTCTTTGGTGAGGTGGACATCTGATGCCCATTATGCTATCTGCCTTTATAGCACCCAACAGAACCTCATCTTTAGCTCTCTTCTTCATGGGCACCAAAGACTGTCTTAACCCAACTTCCTTATTTTCCAAGATTTCCCTTCACCAGCCCCCTCTACCCCCTACCCCCAACCTGGACTCTTCTCTAGCTGTGTCATTTAGGGTTTCCTGACTAGTTGCTTTATAACACAATCTAGCTCATTCTTAGTGTGGAGGCTGCTGAGTGGCCAGGGAGTGAATCCAAAGGAATTTTAAAGGCACATGATTCGTGCTGGAAGGTCAGGGGCCCTGCTCTCTAGCCTGCTGGCCTGACCACCAGCACACAGTACGTCTTCTGAAGACACCCAGGCAGGAAGGTTGGGGGAGAGGGAGAGAGCACTACAGCAGGAGCCTTACAACATAGTGAGGGGGTAAAGTAGCTGGCACCGAGCCCTGCTCCGACCCTGCCAGCGCTCCCCTCTCTGGGCAGCCAGCAGGCCCCATCCAGCCACCGTTACCTGTTGCTCTCCAGCAGGTCCTCGGGAAAGCTTCCTGTTGAGAGGCGCTGCGTCCCGGGTTCTGGGGCATCGTACTGCTGGTTGTTCTCAAAGTGCTGAATGATGTTCCTCACGTTGCCAGGTTTGACTGGAAGCAGAAAGATAATGAAAGATACTCTGCTTTCGGTTCAGGGACGACTCCTCAGGGCCCTTGCTCCCCTTGAGCCCAGAAGACAGTGATGAATAAGCATGGGTGAGAACAGCATGGGGCTGAGGGCCAGGAGACATGGTTCGAGCTCTGGCTCTTCCATTGTGGGGTGTAGCACGCAGAGTCCTCCCACCTTTCTGGGGCTACTGTTTCTTCAGGTGCAAAATGAGTGGCTTTGGAAATACATTTGCGCTGGATATTTCTTTTGGTTCGCACATTCTTTATTACAATGACTCTCATGCTTAAGGATCGTTCCTAGGCTTCTAGGTTTCTCCCAAGAGCCATATACAAGCTTAAAAAATAGCCAGGAAGACCAAAAACATATCTACCTGTAATTTGGCCAGGTTGCCAAATTATACCAAGCACTTTTCAAATTTATACTACTTTTAGAGTTCACTATTCTGTTTTTCCTTGACTTGCCTTCCTGTTCTGCCTTCACCCCTGCCTCTTCCTCTCCATCATTAAAGAATCAGACACCTCATTACCAATGGTGGGTGGGGAGTGGGTCTTAGAAGGACACATCTGTCTGGCACTCTCTGGCATTCAAAGCTAAGACAAAAGAGAGCTGTCTCTGTTCCAAGTAGAGAGGGCAGGTAAAAGTAAAAAGGCATAGGCGATACCACATGGAGACCTGGGAGAAGCAAGCTCAGGCTGGGGGCTCAGTGGTTTCCATCTTCAAAGAGGATTAGCTAAGCTCCAGGTCCAGGCTGTCACAACAAAAGATGGGCTAAAGATGCTACTTTGCCTGGACCAACAGGAAGGATAAGTGGGATGCAGAAGGCAAGACAAATATCCCTGGGTGCCAGACCCTGATCCTATCTGTACTAACCAGACTCTGCCATCAACAGAGACAAATTTATAAGTCTCCCTGTGGATCTAAACCTGAGATTCATAAGAAAATTTCCAAGCCAGAAGAAACAGAAAACATTTAACTGGGCTCTTCAAAGCTCACCATTCCACATCCTTTATACAGGTAATGCTTTTCTAAACCTGCAAAATAGGTGGCTGTGTATATGTGGTAGGAGCCGAGGCTGTTACCATCACTCTCATTTTGAAGATTAGAGTCACAGCTGCCTGTCCCAGACTGAATGTGCATCTGGGCCCTGGGGCAACTGCAGGAGCCAGGGGCAGCTGTGCAGCCACAGCCCGGAGCATCCCTGGCTGGAGGATGATGCAGAAGCCTGGGAATGTCCTAGAACACAGCAACTCTGGGCAGAGCCCATTGTTCCCCCTCCCCTGGGCCACTTGGAAGAGGCCCAGTTCTTGGGATATAGTTACACCCTAGCTTACACCCCAGACAAGGAACAGGTGTGGCCCTGAGATTTGGTATAACTGAATAACCCAGAGTAACAGGGGAAAAAACACATAGAAAGGAATGCATTTTTGAAAAGAGCAAAGTTTTTACCAGCAGCCTTTGCTCTCCTTCCTCCATTCTCTGAATAACAATGAAACAAAGTAAAAGTGAATTATATGTCACTAACAATCAGATACATTAACTAATAAACCAAGCTAATAGCTGGTGATCATAAATGGCAAGGTTCTCAATAAATGAGGTCTTCTGGCTTTGGTGGGTGTTTGGTTTTAGATGTGCATACAGATTTGTCTGATGTCCTGGGAACTTGAGAACATCAAATCAAATCATGAGATGACAATAGAAAGATCTGACTCAAAGAGATGGTGACTACCCAGCATCCTTATCCTGCTCCTGGGATCAGCAACTCTGCCCTGGGTGTTCCTGGCCCCTCTCAGGCTGACTCAAAGCAAGCAGCTGGGGCAGGTCTTAGGCATGCTACTGACCTCATGCCCACCTCAAGGAGGGTGGATGGGAGGAAGTACATGCTAAGAAATAAAAGTCTGGGTTTCAAGGCCATTCTTTCATTTTTTCCATTGTTTTACAGACTCCCCCCTCCCCCGTCCCAATAATTCTTTACTTTTATTGTTTAAAATAGCGTAACAAGGCTAGGGATTTAACCTTAAAAATAACTTTGAAAATCATTATTTTAAATTGTCATTTATTTATATAAAGTGAATTATAGCAATTTATTAAAACTTCTGATTGCATCTCACTGCTCTCTCCCCCTTTGATTTACTATAGAACCTAGAAAATATTAATCACTTAACTAATTATAAGCATATGGACTTCACAGATGGGAAAGGAACCTGTACAGCTCCAGGTTCTAAGTTTCTTTGGGTTAATGCCAATTATAAATGTATTTATTTTTAAAAATACACAGATTTTAGAAGATATTAGGTCCTCCAATATACATACATTAAGGTCATTCTTTTTGTTTTTTTTCCTGGTCAGATCTTTTATTTATTTATTTTTTCATTTATTTTTATTAGTTGGAGGCTAATTACTTTATAATATTGTAGTGGTTTTTGTCATACATTGACATGAATTAGCCATGGATTTACATGTATTCCCCATCCCGATCCCCTCTCCCACCTCCCTCTCGACTCGATCCCTTTGGCTCTTCCCAGTAGGTCTTTCTTTTTAAATGCTGCAGTGACACTGGCAAGGTTTTAAGAGTCAGAAGAGATGCAAGTGTTGCACAAAAGGGCTTAAGCAAAGGAGATGACAAATTAAAATACCTCAAGGCAAACCTGCTGAAGACCCATTATTAGCTAAAAAACAAACAAAAAACCCCACGTAACATTAAAAAAAATGAGGATTTTATTACATCAATTGAAAACAAAAACCTGAGGAGCTTGTGCAGGACATTTCAGTGTGTGAGAGTTTCCCTCATTTACAGAGTCCTGGACTTTTGCAGCTGCGTCCACACAGAGGTGACAGAACGAGAGAAAGGCCTTAGGTCGTGGAACATCTCCGAGGCCCTAGAAGCTGGCTTCTGCCAGCACCCTGAGGCGGAGCTGTGCCTGGGGGGCAGTGGCCCGGCCCCTCCCACCCTGCATCAGGCAGTAGACTCCTGTGCCCAGGGGAGCTTCAGCAGCATGGAGGGGCACATGAGAGCAATGGAGGGAGGAAAGGGAGGAAGGATGGGTAGAATGGGAGAGGAAGCAGAGGCGGAGGGCAGATAGGACTTGGAAAATGTAAACTCAATGCTAATGAAAGGAAAAACCTAAATAAAATGGTCCTTTTACCTTCCACAGGGGACAAGGGAATATAAAATGCTAAAAGAAAACAAACAAAAACAAAAGCAAACCATGAAAAATCAAATTAATGTTTCAAGAGTCAAAATAAAAATTACATCAAGCTGGGAAAATGAAAGGTAGTGGCAAAAATCAGGGCTGATCCAGGAGAGTCCCCTCCTCCCCGCCTCCCTCAGGCAGCGATTTCAGGAAAGGCAGGAGGCCTGCACCACGGTCCTTCCCAGATTTCCAAGACTAACATGGGGATCTTAAGATAATAACTGGGAGCGCCAGCAGCAACGTCCAGACAAACGACACACAGCTGGGAAACCCATGGAGGTCTGGGTTTCTGATGGCATGAGGGGAGCCTCTGGGTCCCAAACCTGCCCTCTTTTCACTCAGTTCAGCTTAACAGTCATTGAAACCCTCCATCAAGGGCCTATAATTGCTCCCAACACACAGGCCCTCAGGAGGACAGACAAGTCCATGGGTGAAGATGAATGAGGCCCTGACAACAGGGCAGCCTTTCCAAGGCGGGGGTGCGGGGGCGGGGGGGTGGATACTCCTCTGCATGGCTACTCGGTATCTCTGAGCGCCTAGACCCAGGCACTGGCACGACCTCCGTGGCTCTGAAGCAGTTGCCTCCACCTCAGGAGCCCGTGCTGGGCATGGCAAGGAGGCAGGAGCGCTGAGAGGAAGCTGACCTTGGAGTTCGGGCCTCTGGCTCCCAGAAGCACAGGAAGGCCCCCTGCCCAAGGCTTTGCTCCCCAAATACTCACTGCTCTGGGAAGAGGTTTTGGGCTTCCCGATGTACTTGAGAATGGGGTTTCGCTTCTTGTCCTCCAAGGCATCCTTGTCTTTCTTGGAATTGCTGCTCTGCTGAGACAAGAAACACTAGGGTTTGTAGAAGGCCTTGGGAGCCAGACTGGGTCACTGATCACCTGGCCACTTCCCTTAAGATTGGCTCTAAACAAGCAGCTGGTGGAGGACTCATGCTTGTACCCTAACTAGCACATTTGCTTCTGGCCAGGGACTGGAGGGAGGGAGAGAGAGATCTAGTCTGGTGATTCTCAATGACTCTGTGTCCAAAGGCAGCAGGACAAGCCAGGCGACCGGAGAGGGCTCTCCCGGCTGCCTCAGTGCAGGGATCTCGCCAAGAGATGCTCCTGTCTGGGGGAGCTCTGTCACCTTCTTGGTTTTTGGGAAGAAGGGTAGCCACTTGTCTTTGTCAGGAGCAGACTGGGCCTTTTCAGCCGTGTTGAGGGGTCGTGTTTCTCGAAGACGGATGCCCGCATGGCTCATGTAGGTATTGAGGGCGAAGCCCATGGGGCCACTGTAAGAGAGGAACAGGCGGTGAATCGGAAGCAGGTGGAAGGGCTGGGACTCTGCAGGCAGGGTGTGTGTGAGGTGGGGTGGTGGTGGTGCATGACTTGCATGACTCCCAGAAGTCAGAATTCCTTTCCTATGCAGAACTCTTCCTGACCAAGGGAGAGTGGGCACGTGGGAGGACGCATCAGTTCATCAGAACAAAAGCAAATGAGCCACAGGCGTGCCTGGGGGACGGTGGAAGCCCACAGCGGAGGTCCGCAGGCACCGACTCGGGGCTGGGATGGCAGAGGCATGGGAAGAAAAGCCACCTGGCCCCGGCACGTCCGGTGAATGGCCTCTGCCACCACCCACCCCAAGTACAAGGAGGAAAGGACAGAAAGGATCTGTCAAGTTGCTTCCAACTTGCCAGAAATGAAACTGTCCAGAGTTCTGTGTTTAAAAATGTACTTCTCTCTCAAAGCACTGCAGAGATTATCCACTTTGTGGATTCAATGAAGCAAATGCTTCAGCCCTGGCTTTCCTCCTCTCTGAAACAGACTGCTATCCCCATCTTCTCTCCCTTATGAAGTGTGTGTATGCTCAAGGAATGCATACTCATTCTAACATTGGCTGCTGAGAAACAAAGGCTGCAAGGGAAAAAAAAGTGTCCGTGGAGTAAGTGTGTTGCATCCCAGCTCCTGTCTGTAGGTACTGCTAACTCAGGCTGATCCTGTCACCGCTCCCTCTCTCGGCGGTTTATGAGAAAGAAGTGGGGAAGCACAGCCAGGGCTGATGTGGGTGGAAAAGAGGAGGCCAGGAATGGGCGTGATGGCAGCCTGGTGTCCTCACACTGAGGAGCAGTCCCACGTTCCCGGCAGTCAGGCCTGGACCTTGTGACCCCCCTGTGTTATGTTACACAGACACGTGGGAACTAAGCTCTGACGCTAGTGAGTCCCCTGTGCTTGGCAGAGATGCATCGCCCAGTAGCTCAGCCCCACTCCTTCCACCTTGAAACCATACAGACTCACTCACCTCCTGTCTTCCTCATATTTGGATCTGGAACAAAAGAGAGAACAAATGACTCAGACCGCAAAGGCAGAGGCTCATCTGCCTGTGCAAGACGGGAGGAGGGTAAGTCCTTTCCTAGAGGAAGGGAGGGTGTCTGGGAGGGGAGCAGGGTGATGAAAGGTCAGACTCAGACCCCTGTTCTCAGCTCTGGAGCCAGCCTAGGGCTCAGGAGGTGGGGGTTCTCACTCCTCTGAGGGACTCAGTTAGCAGAGTGACGATGATGGTATCCTTCTGGCTAAAAGGAAGGGGGACTGTGGCAAACACAGCCTCTTGCTTGGTGTCTGTTTCAGTCTCTGCAGCTATTATGGAGGAAGAGGCTCCTCTCTGTGTCCACCTAGAACTAAATGAGAAGGGTTGGGCTGGCACTGAGGCAAGAGGAAAGAAGGTGAGGGAGCAGAGATAATACCTTGAAACCTGATTCACAGGAACCCATTTAAAAGAGATAAATGACAACAGCAACTAGTATCTGCATGCTCACTATAGGCCAGGCACTATTCTAAGCTATTTACATGTATAATATTTACACTCAAAATAACCCATGAGTCAGTATCATATATCCATTTAATGAGGCAAAGGCTTCATTCTTTTAAATAGAAGCCACTATAAATAGGGTACCTGTGCTGTCAGTAATAATTTCATACAATTTTGTGGTGCCAACAATCTCAGAACAGGCTGGGCTACGTTTTGCCTCCACCCCTGTGTCATTGGGGTGACAACCATCATCTGGCTGTTGCTAGGGAAACTAAGGCCCAGAAAGACTCAGGCTGAGGATCAGAGGGTAGTTTTCAGACTGTGCCCGCCCCGTGGGACTTCATCTAGTCTCATCACCAACCCGGACCTCTTGTCAAATGCCAGGTTCATACACTCAGCTGCCTATTCAAATCTCCAGTCTGATGCCTAAAAATACATGAGATTTCTGACACTTGCGAAACTGAGCCCCCAACTTTCTACCACTAAACTGTCCCCCATACAGCTCTCCCTAACTCAACTGATGACACGTTTGTCCTTTTAGTCGTTTAGGTTAAGAACTATGGAGTCATCCCTGGCTTTTCTTTCTCTCACATCCTATGCATCATTTTTTACAAAATTTCTCCTGTTGGTTCTACTGTCAAAACATACTCGGAGCTGACCTCTTTCTACAGCCTCCATCACCAAGGCTCTGGCCTGAGCCCTACTGTGTGAGCTACGGCAACTGACTTCCCTGTTTGGAAGCCCACCATGCTCTCCCACCACCCTCCACCCACACTCGAGTCTCAACGCCAGTGGCTCCTTGTTCACTGACAGAAAAACCAGAGGAGATACAACAGTTCCCAGGCTCTGTGAGGCTGTACCTCCAGTTTCCTCTGACGTCAGCACTGAGCTTCTCAATCTGCTCTGGTCACACTCACCTCCTACTGTTCCCCAAACATGCCCTGGCTGTTTCCTCTGCCTGGGATGCTTGTCCCCCAAGATGTTTCCAAGGATGATGTCCCCATTTTCTTCAGTCGCCTAAATGTAACTTCCTGGATAAGGCTTTATTTGAAATCGTAACCCACTGGCTGAGGTGCTCCTGACCTCCCTCAGCCTGCACTAGGTACAGTTTACTTATTTATTAGACACTGCATTATCTTCCCACAATAGCATAGCTCCAGAAGCACTGCTGTTTGTTTACTAATGTATCCCAGGAGCCTAGAACAGTGCTTAGCACCAGTGGGGGCTCCATGAATATTTGCTGAACTGAAATATCAGCAGAGATCTTCTAGCCCAACTTTTGTCATTTTATTTATTTATTTTTTTCCATTTATTTTTATTAGTTGGAGGCTAATTACTTTACATCATTGCAGTGGTTTTTGTCATACATTGAAATGAATTAGCCATGGATTTACAACTTTTGTCATTTTAGATGAGACCTGGTGTCTCAGATGGTAAGTAATCTGTCTGCAGTGCAGGAGACTGAGGTTTGATCCCTGGATTTGGGAAGATCCCCTGGAGAAGGGCATGGCTACCCACTCTGGTATTCTTGCCGGGAGAATCCCATGGACAGAGGAGCCTGGCGGGCTACAGTCCATGGAGTCTCAAAGAGTAGGACTCAACTGAATGACTAGAACTTTCACTTTCAAGGTAGATGAAATGGCTTGATCAAGGCCATACAACTACTCAGAATTCCCTGACGGTCCAGTTGTTAAGATTCAGCACTTCCACTGCAGGGGTCACAGGTGAGATCTCTGATCCAGGAATGAAGACCCTGCATGCCCGTGGTGTGACCAAAACAAGCCACACAGCTACTGACTGGAGGAGCAGTAGCGGGGTGAAAATCTATGTCTACGCCTGGGAGCGTCCTCACAAAGTCATTCCAGGAGCCTGGGACATGTTCAGAAAACAGGACTAGAAAGAGACAACCACAGGAGGTGTTCCAGAAGTGCCTAAGTTCAGTTAGCTCAGTACTCTGGTGTACTCAGTTAAGAATGGTTCAATTTCCCATGAGCCATCTGCCTCTTGAAGGAACTTCATCCCCTGGAGAATCACAGCTTAGCTCTCATACTCAGCACCAGATATGACCATTGAACAAGAAGGGAGAACTGTCAGGGAGAGGCTCTGAAGGGAGCAGAAAGCTCCCTGGGTTCCTGGAGCCTGTGGTTTGTCACGACCACTGGATTACTGTCAGGAGCCCCAGCCTGGGACATGAAGCAGGAGTGTGGGACTCTCCCCATCTTCCAGGGGAAGACGGGTCAGGCAAGAAGTGGAAGGGGGGAGAGGCTGGGAAACAGACCCATGAACCACATCAATCTGTGCAGCATGTTTGGGGGTGGGAGTGTGCTGAGACTCACAGGATGTCTCCTAGGGCAGCCAGCTGCTTCTCGGCCACTTGGCGCTCACGGAGAGGGTCCCCATCCAGTTCCAGCAGGTCATTTTCACCATATAGGCTGCCCAGCCCCAGGGTGCGCTTTGTTCTGAGCCAGACACACAGAGAGAGAAACAAATGTATACCAACGCCCAACACTGGACAGGAAGTGAGGTGCACACACACATCAGGGGAAAGAAAAGGGGCGAGGGGGCAGGGAGGGAGCAGGAGGGTGGGCACCGGACACCTGTAGTCGTGGATCTGCTCCTGGATCTCCGGCATGGCCGCCTCCTGAGCCTCACAGAGAGCCGCACGGACATCCTCACTGCTTCGCAGGCGCAGGTCTGTGATGGGGCAGAGGGACGACGGCAAGGGGAGTGGGCGTTGGGGAGGAGGAGGTTACATCGGCTCAGGACCTCCAAGTCTCTTAGCTCCCTGTGGTGTCTGTCCCCCTGTTAACTACGACAAGTGAGGCCTGGACCTACCAGGTCTCTCCTCAACTCAGGACTGGAATCCTGATGTCCAAGCCTTAAGGACAAAAGCATTTTCAGGGTGTTCCACACTCATTAAGTGGGGAAACATTAAAGCTCCTCTCTGGATGTATCCAGACGCTGTGCTCTGACATCCAGCGCAAACCTCTGAGAGGCTCAGTCTTCCCCCAAGGCCCCAGGCCCAGCTCGCAAAGATGAAAAAGGCAAGGATGCCCCAAGTCCCCACCAGAGACTGGACAGTGCCTTTCCTGTCCTACATCTGCCCTCTGCCTGTGCCCACAAGCTTCCTGTCATCCGGGCCTGAAAAGTACCTCTTTTCAAGGGCAGCTTCCAACTCCTACCCTCTAGAAAGCTCCTGGATTCGCCTCTCAGACTGACATCCTCACCACACTGCCTCCCTCAGCTCTTCTACTCAGACTTGAGTGAGGAGGAGCAGAGCAACCACCCTGTGCACTGGCTCCTCACTGTGTTATTTAAGGAACTCAAACACAGCAAAACAAAAGAACAAAAACACTCCACAGACTGACTCCACAGACTGCAGGTGGGGTGGAGTGAGGCCCTAGTTTCTGTGTTTTTAAGAAAGAATTCCCCAAGGGATACTGATGAGTGACCAGGTCTAGTAATTCAATTTCCTCTTGGAACAGTTGAGCCAACTGAGGCCCAGACAGGTCACGTGGAAGACTGGGAGAAAAGACCTTGGTCTCCTGATCAAGCCGTGACTCCCCATGACAAGTTCCCAGGCAGGGTGTGTCCTCTATTTGCGCTTGTCCATGGACTACTGCGAGGAGGAACTGTCCCTATTTCCCCTTATCTGAGAACAGCTGCCCAAGGCAGGGACTGTGTGTGTCCCCTCCTTTCCCCGACCCCCATCCTGAGGGGGCACAAGACGGACCCAAAAGGACACGAACTGACCAAGGAGCCAACTTACCAATTTCTGCCTGTAACATTTCTGGGACCTTCACTCTCAGAGGCTGAAAGAAGGAGGGGGCAGAAGTGGTGAGGCCCACACACACCTGAGCGGAGCGGGGAGGTGCCGTGCACGGGCGGGGGGCTCCAGAACATCCCCTGCGCCCCACCCTCCAAGCATGACCACGCCCTCCACTCCCTTCCCGCCCACTGAATTCCAGGTTAGCGATTCAAGAAGTGGACTCCGAGGTGGCAAGGCAAGCTAGGGCCATACTCTGAGGGCAGCACCTGAAAGTTCCCACTCTTATCTCAGGGACATCAGGGTGCGTGGAATGGAAAGGTCCAAAAAAGTGACCTGGGACCAGTTTAGCTGCGACGGAGAACTCTTTATGAGGCGATCTGACAGCCCCCCCGTTTCTTTCACTCCCAAAGGCGAGCTGGCCTCTGTTACCAAGTCTTCCCATGAGCAGCACACTGCCTGGCTCTGCTCTACCAGTGCCTGACAACTCTGTCCTCAGGCGGTTCCCTAACAACCGACAGAGAATGACTGGCAGCTCTAACCTCCTTACTCAAGACCTGCTGAAGGGGACAAAAATAAAAATCTTGAGGAAAAACAGTTTATTTCCCAATCTCATTAGTTCTAGTAGCTTACTGCCAGATGAACAAAGTCATTTTGGAATTACTTTAGTTGATCAGATTAGAAAGTCCAAGATGGGAACTACCCTCTGCAGGCCAGGGTACTGCCACCAGGTAACCTTGGGAGCTCCGTCCAGAGGCAGAGTGCTCATCCGCCCCAGAAACTCTGGGGTCCCCTCCCTCTGAACCCTGCCTTTGGGCAGTAAGAGAAAGTCAGGCTGAGCTTCAGAAATCTGGGCTCGCCTCTTGGCTCACTGATTTCTATCATCTGATGTCTTCATCCAGGGATGAGCAAGGCAAGGAGAGTTGAAGGAAACCGGGGCACTGATCCAGAGATCAATTAGGACACAGTGCAAATTCTTGGCTCCTCTAAACATTTCAGAGAGAGGCAGTGTGTGCATTCTATCTTGCCAGATGTGGAACAAAAGAGGTACAAGAGGCGATCAAACTTTAGAGACCAGAGCTAGGAGAACCCAGGAATCCTCCTTAAGAACCTGTCTAAATTTGGCCTGAATGTTTTGCTTAGTCTTCCCTCTGCCTCTGAGGGTTCAAAACAATATAGTAAAACTGTAATCCAATTTATGACTGCCTTACCGCATTTTTCTCTAGGAAAATATTCCAGATGTCTTTTCCCAAGCTTCGGGAATCCTTGGGGTTTGTTTGCTGATAAACTTCTGCACACAAATAAAAAAGCTAGGAGAGAAAAAATGGGTTAGAGTGGTGATTCTCAACCCGGAGTCTTTTTGCCTTCCAGGAGATACCTAGTAATGTCTGGTGGCATTTTTGACTGTTACATCTGATACTGGCATCTAGTGGGTGGAGTACAGTGATGCAGCTAAGATCCTGCAATGCACACACCAGCACCCCAAAAGGTCAGTGGTGATGAGGTTGAGGAGCCCTGGCTGAGAGTGTTTCAGAAACCTGTGGTTGATCAACCCCAGCCCTTGGTGTGCACACGCCCCCCGCAACACGATCACTCCCCAACTCTGACTCCTCTCCACACATGACATTCTGTCTCGTACTTATTCATCTGTTGTTTTTAAGGGCCTGTGTTTCTCTTTGTGTTGTACCTCATCATTCATTCAGGAATGCTCCTGAGATACCAGCGCTCGGGACACACACATGGGTGTTCACGGAACACCTGCTGAGCAGACAGATGTTGACTCTGGCTTCTAACAGAGATAGACCCGGAAAGGAAAGACGGCAGTGCATGCCAAGGGCAAGAAGCTTATTCTGGAGAACACGACAGCAGCCTCTCTCGTTCCTCTCCCTTCATGAGCAGCTGAGCAGGATGACAGAAACTGGGAAGGCTGCTGGCTCAAAACACTGTCACCGGGAACCCTGATCTCCACCTTTCATGATCGATCCTCTTTGTCATCACCTTCCGACTGAGGACATTTTATCACCTTGCCTGTCTGCCAAGCTTTCTTATGGCAACACTGTGTATTTACAAGGGCTGCTCTTTAAACCCCTCAGGATTCATCTGTATCCACCTTCATTCCAAAAACCCAGAAAGACCATCCAAGCAGATTCAGAATGACAGCTTTCTTAGTCTAGCTCTTCCTCCTCCCCTATGTGCTATCGATACAGCCAGGAGCAAGAATCCGTTTCACCTAGGTTGCACCTTCTTTTCTATTTTGTCTGTCTTCGTGATGCCTGATTATGTCCGCGGATGATGATCATATCTAGAGCACAGGGCCAGAGGCCAAGCATAAGCAGGCATTCACCTGAGACAGACACTTGCAACTTACCAGGGGACTGGGGTCTGCCTGAGAGAAGATGTACCGTAGAAAAACCCCCAGGTGGGCTGGCCGTGACTTAAGTTTCTCAAAGTCCTGGAATATGACGTCGCTCTGGAAGGCAGAAGCACAGGCAGGGCTGGGGGCAGAGGGAGGGCACCGCCTGCGCCAGCTCAGCTCCCGGGGTCCCCACCTGGTAAGCGTGCTCCCTCCCCGACGCTCCCTCCCGGCTGGTGCCAGTCCAGAGCGGCGGGTATGACAGAGAATGATGAAAGGAGAAAAATCAGGAAACTGTTACCTCGTTGTTGAAATAACCTGGGTCATAATCTTCCTCTGGGCCAATAATTAAAGGCTTTGGGCTCTGATCTGCACCCTGGGGGAGAGAGTCAAGTTGCAGGCGTGAGAGGACAGAGGACAGGAATCTGGCCTCCGCGGTGGAGTCTGCTCAGGGCCAGCACAGCGCTGACAAGGAGAGCCACACGGGGCTGCTCCACACTGGCACCTCACCAACCCCCCCAAATCTCAGAGGGCAGAATCAATGATTTTCACTTGCAGGAAGGCAACTGCTCCTGGGTGGGGCAGGGCAGACTCACAGCAGCCTGGTCACATGACGTATGAAGATGGGAAGTGAGAGAAAGTGCTCACTTCCTGTTTGTGAAAGATCTGAGGAGGGAGTGTCAGCCTGCAAAGTAAGAACCTAGTGCTCCCGCTGGACCGGTGGGCTGGGGGCTTTGTTGTTCTCCTCAACAGCGCGCCCCCACCCCAAACACACAGCCTCCAAACCCAGCGCCTTCCACGCGCTCCTCCACAGTTACCGGGTGCCCACCGCCTCTGCTGGAGAGCCCTGTGGTCCCTCCGCCTCCCTGAGTGAAAGGGGATGGAGCTGATCCTTTTCCAACACCATTGCCATCACTTCCCCGGCCGGTTCAATAATCTGTGGTAAACCCCCACATCCTGTCTAAAATGCAAGCTTCTCAGCATGGGTTTTTTAGCCTCCCCTCTTATACCACCAATTAGGTCTATGAGAGATTTCATACTGTGCACACTTCTCACATGCTTCACTTTAGGCTTTCTCCTAAAGGTGACTTGAGCTCTCAAAACTCTCCTCCCAACTATACTTTTCACTCAGTTTATTCTCCCTCATATTCAGTGATTCCCCAGCGAGGGCTGTGCTCTGGAACCCGTCTAGAGTAGGCAATTCTCACGCCTCCTTTTTCTCAGGTCTAAGATACCTTCCTATTCCACCTTCTTGAGGGACTTCTCCTGACAGTTTCTTGCCAATACTCCTCACTCATTTTTGTTCTCCTGGGTATTTATAGACTCTGCGCTCAGAATGCCTGAGTATAGAACATGAGAGATGCAGGATACACCTAGAGATCAGAGTCTAGCACCCAATTATAATGGCATGTTTGAAGGTGCAGACTCAGGCCTCATGTGCTGGACCTGTATTCCTCAGACACACCCTGAATATTCTCCTCTCCCCGACACTGACTCCCCTGAGGTCCAGGGGGTGACAAGGGGGTGTTGGATGACCACTTCTGGCTCTACTTGGCTCTCTAGTGAAATCTGAAAGCAGTAGTTTTTTGCGTGTTTGGGGGAAGGATTTTTTTTTTTTAAGTCTTTACAAACCTTAAAGTTTTTCTGATTGCAAAAGCAGAATGTTTATCATGTGTGCATGCATGCTAAGTTGTTTCAGTCATGTCCGACTCTTTGCGGCCCTATGGACCAGAGCCCGCCAGGCTCCTCTGTCCGAGGGATTCTCCAGGCAAGAATACTGGAGAGGGTTGCCATGCCCTCCTCCGGGGGATCTTCCTGAACCAGGGATGGAGCCTGTGTCTCCTACCTCTCCTGCATTCGCAGGTGGGTTCTTTACCACTAGTGCTACCTGGGGTTTCTATGGCAGCGGTACTCAGGTTGTGTGAAAACTGCTGGGGATTTGATCTAAGAGCTTGTCAGCCTCTTCCAAGGAAAGCAGGGGCTGAGTAGCTTATCCTGAACCCATTGTAGAGGGTAGCTGTGTGTGTGTGTGTGTGTGTGTGTGTGTGCGTGTGCTCTGTCGCTCATTCATGTCTGACTCTGTGATCTAAGAGCTTGTCAGCCTCTTCCAAGGAAAGCAGGGGCTGAGTAGCTTATCCTGAACCCATTGTAGAGGGTAGCTGTGTGTGTGTGTGTGTGCGTGTGCGTGTGCTCTGTCGCTCATTCATGTCTGACTCTGTGATCTAAGAGCTTGTCAGCCTCTTCCAAGGAAAGCAGGGGCTGAGTAGCTTATCCTGAACCCATTGTAGAGGGTAGCTCTGTGTGTGTGTGTGTGTGTGTGTGTGTGTGTGTGTGTGTGTGTGTGTGTGTGTGTGTGTGTGTGTGTGTGTGTGTGTGTGTGTGTGTGTGTGTGTGTGTGTGTGTGTGTGTGTGTGTGTGTGTGTGTGTGTGTGCGCGCGCGCGCTCTGTCGCTCATTCATGTCTGACTCTGTGACCCCATGGATTATAACCTGCCAGGCTCCTCTGTCCATGGGATTCTCCAGGCAAGAATGCTGGAGTAAATTGCCATTTCCTAAGAAAATCAAATACTGCAGAATTATATAACAAAGTTTGAATTCCCTATGATTCTACCCCCTAGCTGCTGGCAGTTTCATGGATGGTATAGGTTTGCACCTGTGTTCTTACTAACATAAATTGTTATTAAGAAACTGGAATTATACTATATGTGCTCTTATCACTGAAAAATAACAATTTAAATAGTTTTCCAAGTTGAAACAAGTTCAGAGAAGGAGGAAAAGGACTCTGAGACCAATTATTCCACACCTGCTCCTATCAGCCACCTAAAGTAAGACTTCATTTAAGAACGGGATGTGCGCCTGACCTCCTTGCCTTGGCCTGTAGTGCTTACTAAGGGGGGTGGGGTGTGCAGAAGCGAGAGAAGTCTCAGAGAGCGTCCAGGACAGGAGGCGGTTCTGCACTGGCGCTCAGGATCACCAAATTCTAGTCCCATGCTGCCAACCGCAGGCTGAGTCTTTGGATGGTCCCTCAGCCTTTCTCTGTCTCAGTTTCTCACTGAATAGAGATTCTCATGCCTGTCTCCTTTTCTGGTGATGACAATTAAATGAGAATTTGTTTTTAAAGGAAAGAGCACAGCACCTGGTGCACTAAGCATTTTAACACATATGCAATCTACTTCCCTGCTTTTCCCCCCTCCAAGACCTGAAAGTAACTAAACTCTATTCTCCAGGGAGAACTAGAGCATCAAATGGTGTATGATGTTTGTTTTAACATAAGGTAATGGCAGATTTCCTTTAAAAATAAACTGAAGTTTAAAAAAAAAATAAATAAATAAACTGAAGTTTTAAAAAGTTAGCGTAGAGGAAACTACTAAGTAACATTATACAGCTAGTGTGAGGATATGGAAAAAAAATTATGGTGGTAGCAGATTAATTTTAAGAACCTTTACAGCATTTTAAGAGGCTTTACAAAACTCAAGAGTTTTCTTGCCAGTGTCTTTAACAGGGAATGATTAAGCTTCTGCCTGAACAGTGACATCCAATTCCCTGGCTCTCAAGCCAGACCATTCCATTGTCTTACAGCTCAGATTCTTTGCAAGCTTTTTGTATGGAGCCAAAACCTGTCTCCCTAAAATCTCCCTCTGGACCTAGTTACCCTTGAAAGTAGTAGCTTTCAAATCATGTTTTGCAAAACCTTAGGGCTTCAGAGAAGAACTCCTGAGGTCGGGGGCCAAAGTGGGGTGGTTGATTAGGAAAAGTTCCAGGTAGTGAGCTTTAATGTGTTTTCTATGTTAGGGGGCCAAATAGTAAGATTTTGCTCAAGAAAGGAACTTTGCTCAAGAAACAGAAGGTTGAGAATTACTATTCTGGAGAAACACTGAACAAATCTATTTCCTATTCTATACAGACATTAAAATAAAAAGCAGCAATCTGCTCCTTGGACATCACTTCCCTACAGATGTATTCACTGACTCTTCACCCAAAAACTCAAGACAGCCATTCTCCTGTGTACGTATTTACACCATGTTCTTCCTTCACTATCTGTCCTTTAGCCAGTGTCCACCTCTAAACAGGGTTCAGTCTGATCGTCCAAGGCCATGTGTGGGGAGCCCAGTTCTGCAAAGAGGGAAAGGAGAAAGCCCGGAGCGGCTCTGGTCACCCACCTGGTCGCTGCTGGGGGGGGCTGGTGCGTCTGAGCCCTGCCGCTGGTGGCGCTGCGCCAGCCGGGCCATGGTCACGGGGGAGGTCCGCGGACTGTCCGGCCCAGGGTCTGACAGGACCGAGTTCCGATTCACCAAGGACTAGAGGAACAGAGAACTCTGTGAGGCAGAAGCTCGCCCAGAAGACCCTCAGGGCTCTGCTCATCGGCTAAAAATTTAGTACTTACTCTGTGCCTGGTTGTGTATTACCTCATTTAATGCTTACAACAGCCCTCTGAGGTAGAAGCTATTATTCCTCCCACTTCTTGCACAAAGAAACTAAGACTTGGAGAGGCTCCAGGACTTGCTGAAGATCGGATAGTTAGCAACGCCGTATTCCCCAGGCAGCCTCACCCCACTGCCCATGAGGCCCCACTGCTTCCAGACGTGGAGCCCGCAGGGGTGTGTCTACTGTGGATTATTTAGGACCCTCCTCACCCCTGGTGTCTTTCCGACATACTGAGCCTTCCACATACATTCATCATATTCCCACAAACGGGCAGGAGCAGTAAAGAAATAAAATTCTAACTATCATTTAAAATCAGGTTTTAAACATGTTTTCAATTACTTATTTCATTAAGCTGGCCAAGTAAATATTTTGATAACATTGTTATTACTTCTTCTATTCACTCTAACTTTTATATTCCCAGTTCATATCTGCAATTAATATATGCAGACTGAGAACACGGAGAAGACCACTTCTGAGGCCAAAGCCTGAAGCTCTTCTGACCACTCCAGAGAAGACAAGCTGTTCAAGTAAAAGATCTATGACTAAGACAGAGAAGCTGCCACTTCCGATTAGGCCGAGTTTGCTGTTTTACTCTAAGATGATGCTATCTGCAGCCAGGTGCAGACATGGTTTTGGTCCAGTCACTGTTGTACAGAATTTCTGTCTCTGTTCTCTTACACTTTAACAAGGCTTGCTACGATTAATGCGACAGCCTCTCTTCTCCACCCAACTCTATGACTATGATAAAATAGAAGCCAGATTTGATGATCTTGCATGTAGGATGCATTCCCGCTCCCCCCCACCTTTTTCTTTAGAACTCACAACAGAATGACTAAAACCCTTGGAACCAGAACTACAGCAGAGGGCCCAGATGACAGGCTATAGGCCTCGGTGCATGTGGTGAGCAGAGAACCTACCGATGTCCAGAGAGGGGACACTGAATGCATGGTTTTAAACGGGGCTGCCCCCGGCCTTGGCACTCACCTCGCTGAGGGAAGGAAAGCGTTCTGTGCCGGAGTCCAAGCCACTATCCCCTTCCTGGGAATCCAGAGAGAGTCGGCCTGGGAAGGAAAGAGTTTACACGGTGAGGAAGGAGCTGTGGCCTGGGGGAGAGAAGGGTCTTTATTCCAGGAACCTGTGCCCACTGCAGGAGGGCGAGCCTGCCACCAGCCTGTCTTTCCCAGCTTCCCTTTAGCTCTCCTGAGGCTTTAGACACCTAGCTTTCACCTATCCGCACACCTGTGCCCAGGCCGTGTCACCTTCTAGAATAATCCTCCATAGCTTTACCTCCCAACAAGTCCGAGCCCTCAGCTCATCCCTACCCTCTACTGGTTCCCATCCATTTCTTCTTATGACAGCATCTCTTGAGCTCCGAGCTGCCAGGTGCTGGCAGACAGGCTGTTGTCTGGACCACCATCATTCTAGCATCTCCTCGGCACTTATCTATCCAGGGCTGTTGGTTGTACATTCGTTTCCCTGTCACTTGGACTGCTTTCTCTTATTACTCTATTTCTTGGAGGCAGGGACTGTATTTCCCCCTCTGAATGTGCCCCAAAGAGAGGGGACGATAGGTAAGAAATGTGAACCAGAGATGTGCCAGAGCAAAAAGGGATGCTGAGGGGACTCACCTTCTGACGATCTCTGGCTGGTGTCGCCATACGCTGGAAGTGTGTCCTAAAAGGAAGAGAGGTCCGGAGGGAGGCGAACGCTGTGAACCTCTCCCCCTACTGTTCCCTCCCACCAACCCATCCCTCAGTCTCAGCAGATGACATCTGCTTGCAGTCAGTGGCCTCTTCCTCACTGCCTTACAAATGCCCAGTTAGAAGAGCTATTGCTTCATTTGCACAATTTAAGGAGAATGGTGACCCCTAATGGTGAAAAGGGAGCTTTACTAGTGGCAAAATTCTAAAAACTTACTTGATTTCTCACCCTGGACCTCAAAGCATCTACTGCCTCAGTTGGGCTCGTCACTGAAAGAACTTCCGAACCATCAAGGAGTATGAAAATCTCCCGCAGATGCAAAGCTCTGCCTCTAAACACCCTTGAAGACTGACAGGCACTGGCCTGGGGCTGACGAGCCACTGTGGAGGGAATAATGTCGCTAATGCTTCACTGTTTATGAAGCACTCTTGTCTACATCTCATTTAGCTTTTGGTTTTTTTTTAATAACTCGGAGGCAGGCATGGTACTCCCATGTTATAAATGAGGAAACAGAAGCCCAGAGATCTTAAGCAACTTGCCCAAGCTACACAGCAGGTAAACTATAAAGCAAGGGTTGACGCTCAGACCCCCAGATTCCAAGCTGAGTGTTTCAGACTCATCACTTACACAGCACATGAGCACAAGGGCAGCGGCAGCAGCAGACACACACTAGCCCCATCCTGAGGGCATCCTTTAATTCTGACAGTAACACCATCAGGCAGATCCTGCCGTATCTCCATTTCATAAATGAGGACATCAAGGCTCCCAGGGATTCTTATTTTTATTTTTTAAGGCCTTTACTGAATACGTTACAGTATTGCTTCTGTTTCATGTTTTGGGGCATGTGGGATTCTAACTCCCTGACCTGGGGTTGAACCTGTACCCTCCCTGCATTGGGAGGTGAACTCTTAACCACTGGACTGTCAGGGAAGTCCCTTTCCAGGGAATCACTGAGTCACTTGCCCAAGAGTCTTAAAGCTGGTGAGCCCTATAGCTGGGAGGTGAATCCAGATGGTCTGAATCCTAAACCTGACCTTCTATCAACCATGTGATACTGAGAAATTCTTCAGAAAGTAAAAGTTTAAATCTGTTTGGCTTGTGTTTCCCAGACTTTTTGGATCTGAATGGTCTGAAAAAGAAAGTAGATAATCCTCAAATAATTTCTATTGATTTTGGCAAATATTGTTCTTGGAGATCTTAAAGTGTCTGGAGAGTTCCTTCCTATTTACCCAAAGAATGAAGGCCTGATGGACAGAACTAAGACACTAATGAAGCGTCGAGTCCCTGACTAGGACAGATGAGGAGGCATCTCTTCCCGAGGATTTCCTGCGGTGTGGTTAGCTGTCGCGACAGATCCCTCTCAACTGCCTGGGGTCCCTTTACTTAGGCTGACTTTTAGAAGTGCTCGCGTTACTTTGAGAAGACCTATTACTGGAGGGCGAGGTGACAGGAAAAGCTACCGGATGAATAATGAGTAAAATTAGTGTTGGAATATACCTCATCTATGAGGCAACTACCCAGCAGGGGATGGATAATCAGCAAGTTAAAGCTGACAGTCTGATTTACTGCATATTTCTTTCCCTTTCCATTGCAACTATAAGCTGCTGGAGGGCAAGAAACAGGCCATCCCTTTCCATGGGGTCCCAAGTGCCAGGACGGTGGCCAGTCTCCGCGGTGCTACATGAAGACCCGCCGACCTCTGTCTCTTCGTGAAACACTAACACACACTGGTTCCGCCCCGGGTCCTGTGTGACCCGGGAAGCCTCTGTCCTGGCCTTCCCCCTCACACTCCCCTCCGGCCACCTGCACGAGCCCTTCCTAGAGCTAAGCCTGCCATCACTCACCACTGAGCCACCAGTCTCCTGCTGGATCTTCAGCTGTAACTGAGTGACTCGCCGCCGGGCGCCTTCCATCTGCTCTTCCAGCAGGCTGGCGGGGTTCCGGCTATACACCTCATAGATACGCTGGGGGCGGGGCGGGCGGGGGCGAGGGGGACAAGGAGGGAAAAGGCAGAGGAGCGGTTAGTAGAGACCGACGACTCACGGGGGGAGCAGGCAGTTATCCCACAACAAAGGGGAGAGAAAGCAGATCTCTGCCTCGGAGGAGCTGTGTGCCACTCCGGAGGAGGCCACGTGGACAGAAAGGCAGGGAAGACAGGACACAGAGGCCGGGCCGGGCCTGACCGGGCCTTAAGGCCTACGTGCTAAGTGAGGTCTTCCTTGACCGCAGCTCAAGACTCAGATATTTAAGTGACCGGCCAGACAGCACACACAGAAACACTAAGGAGGAAACATACAGCGAGAACCACGGAGTTGAGACGAAGAAGCGTGGACCAAGGAAGCCAGCACCCCCGTCCCCTAGCCCTGTAGCTGGGAACCACTGACACTCATCTAGCATCCTTTTAGCACACAGCTTGGGCTTTGCAGTCAGGGAGGCCTGCCTCTGAACGCTGGCACCTCTGGTTACTAGCTGTGTAGACCTGGGCAAGCTTGACTACGTCCTCATAGATCAAATGGAGATGTGGTACCTGCCTCTGGGGATGGATGTAGGCTATGAAAGAGATTATGTATGTAAAGTGCTGAGCAGAAGGTCTGGTGCGTAACTACTTGACTGAATGCACAGCAGCTAGTGTTATTTTACTACAATAGGAAATGCTCAATGAAGCTGGTGGGTTAAATAGTTACATAGACACTGGGTGCACATTTTCTCCAAGCTCATCTGGAACCTCCCTGTGACCCTCATAGTTGCTGTTTCATCTTCTCCATGACTCTCAAGCCCTCAGCCCTCCTCTTAGTCTCTGCGGATACTATCATCTGGTAAGAATGTTCCCAACTTCACTCCATTTCAAAGCATCCGCAGCTACCCTTACCCTCTGCCTTAGAAGAGAAACTCCGTCTAAATCCTGTACAAGGTTAGTGCCTCCAACAGCCTCAGGGCTCCTCTTGGGCATCATTTACATATCCTCAAAGTTTCCTTATTCCAACGGCTCCTTCCCTTCATCCTATAAAAAAGCTCAAGTTTCCTGTCCTAAAACGAAACAAACTACTACACCAAAACCTTCTCCATCAACTCTGATTAGTCTTCAAGCCACTGCCTCATTCTTTTCTCCCTCCTTTTACAGCCAACATGCTTTCAAACAGGAGTCTCTATGTAGAGCCCAGGCTTCTTAGCCTTCTAGTCACTCACCAACAGACACAGTTTAGTTCCTCCCATCGACATGCTCTTCTGAAATCCAGTGGTTTCTTCCTGGTCCTCATCTCTCCAGAGCTCTTTAAATACCCACCTCCTCAAAATGCTGTCCTCTTCTGACTTTTCACTTGACACTGACTGGGGTCACACCCCTCCCCCAGCTGTAGATTTACCCCTGCCTCCTCTCTTAAATCTAGGTGAGCCTTCAGCTCTGCAAGCATCGACAAAGCTGACACACGCCAGGCCCCGTTCCAGCTGTGCTGGAGGAATATGCCAACGTAGGCATGGTCCTGGCCCTCAGGAACTCAGGCCAATAGAGGAGGACAAGCAAATAATTAAAATACAAATACAGCAGCGACTGTTTACAGGTTGATGCGTGTGCCACAGAAGCACAGAAGCTCTGGAATTCCACCCTCAGCTCTCTCCTCTTCTCTGTCCTTGGTGATGTCATCTAGTCCCAAATTTCAACTGCCACCTGTATGCTAAGGCTACCCGGATCTCTATCAATATTTCAAAATCCAATCTTCTGAGGTTCATCCTTGTTATCTCCATGTGCCTGGAGGGTGGTCTTTTTACCTGAACCTCCGTGGCTGCTTTAAACTCAGTACAGCCAAAGCCTACCGCCATTTCTTTCCCCTAATCCTTCTCTCCTCTGTCTCACTCTGTCAATGGCGTCACCACCTATCCAGGCACCCAAACCTGGGGCTATCTTTTCTTTCTTCTCCTTTACTTTTCCCTTCTAGTTGATACACTTCTTATGTACTGTAACAGCCTCCGAGAAGGTTTCCTTATGTGTCAATCCACTTATTACACTTTTCTAAAGAACACAGATTTGAGGATGTGATCACTCCCCTACTCAAATCCTTGGATCAATTCCCACTGCTTTCAGAATAAACTTCAAGCTCATCATGTTACTGACGGCCCAAAGTACTTTCCAGAGTGAAACAGACTGAGCGCAACTGAAATGTCGTCTCATGAACCTTCTCTGATCCTTGTGTAATTAATTATTCCTTCTTTTTATAATTTAAATAATTTTAAAATTATTATCGACATATAATTCACATAAATTCACCATTTTAAAGTATATAATCCAGTGATTTTTACTATATGCACAGAGCTGTACAAACATCTCCACTATCTAATTCCAGAACACTTCCTTCCAACCCTACAAGAAAGCAGTCACTCCCAATTTCTCCCTTCCTCCATCTCCTGGCAACCACTGATTTATTTTCTGTTTTTATGGATTTACCTCTTCTGGATTTGCACATAAACGGAATCATACAATATGTGGCCTTTGGTGTCTGGCTTCTCTCACCTGGTACGTTTTCAGGATTCTTCCATATCAAAGCATGCATCAGTCCCTCACTCTTTTATATGGCTGAATAATATCCCATTTTATGGAGAGAACATATTTTGCTCATCTACACATCAGTTAATGAGAATCTGGGTGGTTTCCACCTTCTGGCTATTATGCAATTAATAAATGCTATTATGAATGTTCACATAAGAGGTTCTATGCTTTGAACTCTCTTGGGTATATACTTAGGTTCATGGAGCTGACAGATCATATTTCTGTGTTTAACATTTTAAAGAATTGCCAAACTGGCTGCACCGTTTTACATTTTCGCATCAATGGTGGGAGTAGAGCAGGACAGTGAATATGTAGACAAAATATAAACAAATATTTCAAAAACAAACAAACAAACAAACATTTCTCCAATTTCTCCACATTTTCACCAACGACTGTTATTTTGGCTCTGGCCATCCAAGTGGGTGTGCAGTGGTATCTCAAAGTATTGGCTGGCCTCTTTCTAATGACTAATGATACTGAGCATCTTTTCACGTATTTACTGACCATTTGTATGTCTTCTTTATTGGACTGTCTATTCAAATCCTTAGCTAACTTTTAAACTGGGTTGATTTTTAAGTATCTATTACATATTCAGGTACTAGACCTATATGTTCATGGCAAATAGATGGGGAAACAGTGGAAACAGTGGCTGACTTTATTCTTTTGGGCTCCAAAATCACTGCAGATGATGACTGCAGCCATGAAATTAAAAGACGTTTACTCCTTGGAAGGGAAGTTATGACCAACCTAGACAGCATATTTAAAAGCAGAGACATTACTTTGCCAACAAAGGTCCGTCTAGTCAAGGCTATGGTTTTTCCAGTGGCCATATATGGATGTGAGAGTTGGACTATAAAGAAAGCTGAGCACTGAAGAATTGATGCTTTTGAACTGTGGTGTTGGAGAAGCCTCTTGAGAGTCCCTTGGACTGCAAGGAGATCCAGCCAGTCCATCCTAAAGGAGATCAGTCCTGAGCGTTCATTGGAAGGACTACTGCTGAAGCTGAAACTCCCAACACTTTGGCCACCTGATGCAAAGAACTGGCTCACTGGAAAAGACCCTGATGCTGGAAAAGATTAAGGTGAGAGAAGGGGACGACAGAGGATGAGATGGTTGGATGGCATCACTGACTCAATGGATGTGAATTTGGGTAAACTCCAGGATTTGGTGATGGACAGGGAGGCCCGATGTGCTGCAGTCCATGGGGCTGCAAAGAGTCGGACACAATTGAGCAACTGAACTGAAATGAACTGTGACCTATATGAGCTGCAAATATTTTCTCCTATTCTGTGGTTGTCATTTTACTTTAGTGTCCTTTGACGCACAAAAGCTTTCAATTTTGATGAAGTCTAATTTATCTTCTCAGTTTTTTTTTTTTTGGTTATTTACGCTTTTGGTGTCACAGCTAAGAAAGCACTGTCTAGTCCAAGTGGTTTATCAAGGAATAAACACCCATGTTTTCTACCAAGAGTTTCATAGTTCTTAAAAATAGTTTTCACTCTTATACTTAAGTCTTTGATTCATTTTGACCTAAATTTTATTACTGTGTTTAAATTTATTTACTGTGTGTAGTAATAATCCAAACTCATTCTTTGCACAGATATCCTGTTGTCCCAGAACCATTTGTTGAAAAGACTATTCTTTCTTCACTGAACTATCTTGACACTTTCTAAAAAACCAACTGACCACAGATGGATGGGTTAATCTCTGGACTCTGAATTCTATTTCACTGATTTACAGGTCTATCCTTATACCAGTACCACACTATCTTGATTACTCTATGACATGTATCAAAATATTAGTATCAGCACTTATTATACTGCAATGCAACTCTTCCTTCATTCATCCATTGATATTCTACTAGCTTATAAACTCTTTAAAGGAAAGGTTCATTTCTCACTTAACTTTATAACCATTCTAACCTTTGTCCCTAGCACTGGTCCCCATCTCCACTGCAGCACACACAGTATGTAGCACACAGCAGGAACTTAATGTTTGTTAAGTAAATGAGTATGTTTTCATGTCTTGGTGCCTGGGAGCTATGCTGTCCATTCTCAGCATTCTCTTCCCCATCTCTTTTGCTTATTGAAGCCCTACGCTTCAAGGCCCAGCTGAAACACAATTTTCTCAGTGAAGTTTCCCGCACATCTCCCACTATTAATTAATAACAATAATCTGCTCTCTTCCTTGTCCCTCCCACTCTTTTTCCTACTGTAATATGAATTTTCCCCATGATATTGTAAACATGTTGAGGGCAAGTACTATCTAATCTTTTAGGAATTAAAACAACGCTTTACATACAGTGGGCATAACAGAACTGAAATGAAGGGGCCAGGAGCTCGCTGTAAGCCACAGCTATTATCGGAATCCGGTCATTTCCTTCCAGCCAGATTAAACTTCTTGTTCTCCCTGCACATCATTGCCCAAGCCTGGAAGTCTCTCTGCATCAAATTCTGCTTTAACAAATTCCACTGGCCTATGACAATTCTTTAGAGGTCCTGAGGTTTGACATTAAGGTTTTCCTGTGATAGCGTATGGCCTGCAAATTAAGTTGTACACTTTGGTAGATTGCTTTGATAAAGTATTATTTCATGAAGGCAATGGCCAGTCTACCCTCAGCAGTGACCTTACCTGTAGCTCTTTTTCCTCCTGTCTCAGCATATTCCTAAGGATCTGGGTAGCATGTTTTTGAAACTCGGGATCCTAAGGGTGGAAAACATGACAGTAGTGAGAGTTGGGGACCAAATCAATAGCTTTCTTCTCCTCTACCAGATGATTCCTAGGCAAGGGAAGCTATGACGGGATAGCCTGGGCTGTAAGAATGTTTTGTATAACACTATCTCACTGGAATTCAATAAACATAAAATCTTATTTTGATTTCACTCCTAACTTCCTAGAAACCCTGACTGTAATCACATCTGGTATCAAATTGCTCTCTAAAGTCTTCTAGGACTTGCTGGTCACTCTTCCTTCCGATCGGAAAATCCTGCTTCCTATTACTCTCTGCCTCTAGTCCTTTTTAACTCCTTACACAGGTTATATTGGTCCTTGGGTTCTCCCCCTACTAGTCTTGCTCTTTCCTGATTCTCCCCTATAGACTGAGCTCCATATTTCGTTCCTCCAGGCCATCTTTTTCCCCAGGAAGCCTCTCCTTTATTCCTTGACTTATTCCACACCTTTGTAACAGTGACTGTTAACAGTCTTTACAGACTCCTCTGACCATGCCTGGAGGTGTGCACCCTCGCCCCGATGGAGAGGAACATTCTCAAAGGGCCTCCTTAGAGTCCTGCATGCACATAGGAAACACACTGCATGCTGCTGCCTGATAAACCACATATGCACTTACACAGAAAGAGGACACTAAGGCATGAAATGCCGTTTTAATGCAGTTCTCATTTTGTTCCACTTTTTGATGGCCTTCATATAGTTCTTTTTCTTGTCTCTTCCTACTGGCATGCCATTCAATTTAACCTGCTTCCATTCCAATGGGCAGCTCTTCAAAAGGACACCAGAATGAGGAGAGGAGCAGGAGGACTGTTACCTGCAGAGGTCTGGGACCTGTGATGCGCTGTGGAGGTGGCAGAGGTGGAGGAGGTGGTGGGGGGGGGATCACCGGGGTGACTCGGGGAGCTGCTGCTGGGGCTGGGTCCTGCTGGGGTCCACAGACACCAACGGATGAGGGTGAAGAGCCCAGGAGGGTGAGAGCAACATAGGCACCAGCTGGAGGAAGACAAACAGAGGGCTGCTCAAGTGGTACTGTTTGCAACAGCAGACACCCAGGTACAAAGCAGGGAGTTCTCCCTTCCCCTTCCATTAAGCTTATAATTCTATAGGTAAAGTTCTCCTCATTTTTAATGCCCCACCTGTTCTCTAATTCCCGTCCTTCCATCCTGCATCAGCACAAGGCTCCTTTCCTTCCCTTTCCTCAGGCAGAGACCTCAACCAAAACCCCATCCACAACTTCTTGGGAGTTGCCCACTCAGTCCCTGGTTTCTCAGGACTGGCAGAGGGGAGTGAGTGGTATTTGAGTGAGACTTGGTCTTAGTAGAACATGATGAAAAGGTAGTGCAAAGATGGGTACAAAAATAAACATGTCGGATGAGAGATTAATAGCGTCTCCCCCTGAAAGGACAGTAGGGAACTGTGGCAGTCTATGATGATCAGGCCAAGATTAAAGACTCCAGCCGCCTCCCATCTACAGAGGAGCCCTGCTGGGTCGACAGGCCTGCTTCCCCCGTGCCCCCAGCGTGTCTGCTCCCCGACTTTCTTTCACTGTCACCTCTCTCCAACTCACATTTGATGAGCTTCACCACCTCCAGGTGTGAGCTATTGGTCACCATGGTGCCGTTCACCTGTTGGGGGACAAATGACATGACTGAATCATGGCTGTGGAAGCCTAGGGGATCGTTTTCCTAGGTCAAAGCCACTTCTTTAGGGAGCCATTTATCAGGGCTCTTTAGTATAGTAAACTTGTAGAACTTAGTCACAGTCAAGGAGGGCCTAGAATATGGAACCCAGCTATCTTAGTCTCCACTCTCTGTCACGGTATACTACTCATTCCCACGGGACCACCCTCCCAGTCAGCGGCTGATGACAGATGCTATGAAAACGCAAGTGTACAGGACGGGCCAAGGCCAGAAATGACCCTGCACCCCGCTCCCCCACCGGGGGGAGGCGGATCGCCCAGAGAGGGAATTTCACTCACTTTGATGATCCGGTCACCTTCTTTCACACCGGCTTTCATGGCTGCACCTCCTGTAAGGAAGCAGAAGGCCTGGTCAGTGGAGACCCACCACCTTTCCAGAGGTCACTGAATCTCCACCCATGAACCTGCCAAATCACCTTCCCCCTCCAATCTCTTCTCCCCTCTGTGTTAAGTATTTCACATGCTGGGTGTGTATCCTATTCTGCCCCAGTGCCACAACTACCTTTGAGCTAGACTGGACTGTCCGAGGTCACATCTCCTGTTCTTTTTGCCACCTGGCTCAGAAGCAGACTTCTCCTCTGAGAGCCAGGCCACACTGACAGAGAGGCAGGGCCAGACTCCGGGGAGAGCAATGTGTGCTTTATTTGAATGTGTCTGGATATGCTCCAAGGTCAAATAGGAGTTTATTTCTATTATCCAGTGGGAACGAGTTTACTGTATTAAATAACTGTTGAAGTAATTATTAAGAGGAATATGAGAAAAGAATTGCAACAAGAGTTTTCAAATCATGGTCCCTAAGCCCTGAGAGGTTCATAAAGACATTCTGGGTGTTCCTAGCATTAAGGAAGATAAGGATCACTGCTCTATCTTCTGTTAAAAAATGGTTCTGCAGCCGCAGCAGTTCTGACCACCATGTATAGTCGTCCCTGGGTATCCACTGGGGATTAATTCTAGGACCTCCTGCAGATGCTCAAGTCCCTTACGTAAAATGGCATAGTACAATACCTTCCGGTTTCACATCCGATGATTGAACTAACTGCAGATGGAAATTCTGAGCCGCAGTTGGTTGAATCTATGGATGCAGAATTCTCAGATTTGAAACTCGCGGATATGGAGGGCAAAATGTAGTTTTAAATGAGCTAAGTAGTACTCAGAAAGCACAGGGAACACTTATGCTGAAAAGTTCGTGGGAAGCATAAAAACTATGTTTTTTGTAAATTTGCCCCGATGGTCATTAAATCCGTAAGTTGCATTTGCCTGATCAAAACAAAACTCCCACGAAGTATATCTATATGCTTCTAGTCCAAAAAGAGAAATTACAGTGATGACTACATTCCAATTTGGCTTTTCAGTATTGGGACCCAGACTACCCAATCTAAAGTGTGCTATTTGTGGGACTAGCTTGAAAACTCTCTTTTACACTGTCATCTAGAAATTAAAGGTGGAGAGGAAGAGTGATTTTGCCTGAATGCATGAAACACTAATAACTTAGTGATTTAAAAAAATTTAAACTTTTCAGAGTAAAGGAATTAGAGAAGAAGTTATAGACTTCAGTAAGCATGAGAATCACCAGAAGAATTTGTCAGAAAGCATCTTCCTTGGCCCCCTTGTCAGACAGTGATCCAGTACTTTAGGACTTGGGCCCTGGAATGAGGATTTCAATCACCCTAAGGGCCTAGGTGATTCTGATGAGCAGAGCACGAACTACACTTTGAGAAACAGTGAGCTGAGAAGCCTACAATCTGGAAAAGATAATAACAACTGCGTTGTTACTTTTGTGAATTCGATGCCAATCCAAATGAGGTCTCTTCCTTTCTCCTGCCCAAAATACACATTCATACACATATTTTCCAAAACTCATATTTCACTGCAAGCCATCCTTTTGTTCTTTCCTCTCTGAGTCTGACTATGCTCAGACCTAAGAGGGGGTAAAAACTGGAGGAGCCCTGAACTCATAATTCACTGGAGGGGATCCTCATACATTCTGTATTAAAGAGATCACAGAGGCAAAGTACAAGTTACTGGCAGTCCCATCGCTCTCTCTCACCCTAGTCCAGGAACCTTGAGAGAATATGGAAGCAAAGAAGAAGTTTCTTTTCAGAGTTCTACCCTAGGATATGAAAAACAAACCTCCCCCTGATAAAAGTTAACCCCCAAACATAAGGAGTGCTAATTATTTATATCCTCTTATGGCCCACATACCTCATTTTGGTCATGAATTTGAAATTCTCTTTTCACCTTTCACATAAATAAATTCTAAGTATTTCTTCCAAAATTAAGTAAAGCACATATCCTTCCCATTTTGCACTGCACTTAGCAGGAAAACGCTGGCTGGTTACCTACCCCTTTCTTGTACTCTTCTTCCTGCCTGGGATGTACCATGCTGTCAGGCCCAATCCCATTTGCTACAATGAGGTTCACTCCTTTAGAGATACTTGCCTCATATTCTTCACCACTCCCATCTCCTTCCTGTTCACAGTCTTCAATCTGGGTCACTTTACAACAGTGATTCTACCACCGGACATTACAGAGCTCTGAAATACCTGAAGCTTTTCCATACATAACTGATTTGCTTACAATGCCCTCCCACTCTCTACTCCCTTCCCACCAAATTCCCATCTTGTCAATGTGTTCTCTATGGCCATCTTTCAAACTACTCCTGAAATCCGATTTCCTTCTTGAGAAGGCTCCCCAAACTAATAAGAAGGGAGATACTATGCTTCAAACAAACTACCACAACACAACCTCCCAAGTACCCTTTCTTCCTGTGTACTGTCCAACATACATCTTTCAGTCACTTATTACTTAGTGTAATTGTATCTGCAAAGACATCTGGACAGAGTGCCTGCCTCAACTGCGAACTGCTGCAGCACAGTAACCATCTGTGCCTGGAGCGAGGTCATGTGAAGGTGAGAAGAAGAAAGTGGGTCTTCGATTTCTCCATGGCATCTTCCAACCCAGGATGAGGAGCTCCCCTGGAGGGCAGTCAGGCACCTGCCTGATGACCTGAGGGCTATTTTGCCTTTTCCACACTTCCAACAGGGAATCAAGCCCAGGGTGTGATCCCTAGAAATGCTTAGTATTGTGAAGGCTTCCCCAGATGCGCCCGGGGAACCAGTTCTAGAATGGACCATGCGTGCGGCAGGACGCCCAGGCCTCTAGCAAAGGCACATGCAAGTTCTCCAAGTCCTATGGCACTTCACATCCACGGTGACTTTGTACGAACTGTCCACCGTTGGCGAGGCAGACACAACACTCACCAGGCCGCACAGACTGTACTAGAACGACGCGGTCCCCGCTGACTGTGAAGCCGAAGCCATGCTGGTCCTTTTGGATGATGACGCAGCGTTGAACAAGACCTGGCAAGAGGGGAGAAGGAGAAGGGGGTTGAGCTGGGTCTGTCACTGGGAGTCAGCGCACAAAAGCCAGGGCCAAACAAGCAGTGCCCTAGTGCGTTTCCTCCTCCAAAGAGCCCTTCCGGATCCCCAGACAGCCTGTCCAAACACACGCTTGCAATGCATGCCTTCCGCAGCAATCGACAAAACCCCGTCATCTACTCTGTATTCTATACGAGAAATTCCCTTCTCTGAGGCATTGAGATGTTTGTCTCTCTCTTTAGGCTTGTTTGGGTGCGACTGGCCAAAAAAGGGGCCTGGCCAACTCCAGGCTGAAGACTAATGTCTCAGAGCTGCAATCCTGGGACAGAAGCCTACGTGACCCGGAAGTTCTCCATTAAACCACGTTCAGTGACTACAGAAGGTGGGACGCCTGTGCGTGCTGACTCTGCAGAGACGGATAACTCATGGGGGCAACTGAGGGCTGGCCATGTGCCATAATTCAGGGAAGGATAAACGACTAGAGAAAACCCCTCTGCCACATTTACGACCACACACAGAATGTAGGAAAAAAGAAAGGCTATAACTGCCCACAGACTCCATCCCTGTGGGCATGTATTAGATACTGTACACTGTGAAGGTATGTGTTACTGTTTCCTGTAATGGAGAAAGCACAAGTTCCAGTGCTAAAACCCCACTGGTTTCAGGTCCTGGTTTTGTCTCTTACAAGTTTGCACACTTGGAAAATTTTTTAATCACTCTGTGTCTCAGCTCCCTCATCTGTAAAATAGGGATAATAAAATCTACTTTCTACCATTGATAAAAGGACTGAGTAAGACAATTGGTAAAAACACATAACACAATGCCTTGCGCACATTATGAGCTCAATATAAAGGCTAAGTTGTCTTCTATCTAGGGTATGCAGATCTGTCTGTATGGGTGAACACCTCTGTGCCTATGTGCTGATGCCCTGAGAAGGTTACCTGCTGTCTCAGATGTGTCAGAGGGCTGGCGGTGGTGAGAAGGGGACTTGCGTTCAGGTGCTGAATCTCCCAAAGACAGGCTACTTAACCTGGAGAAAAAGTAAGAAAAGCACATCAACAAACTGAGCAGGGAGGGACCACCCTTTTAGCAGAAGGAGGCTCTGTCAACAGGGGCCCTGAGTCTTGGGTAACAAGAGACTGACCCTCTCACTCTGTACCCCGCTCCCTCTGGTGGGAGACTGCCCATGTCTACACTGTGGGCAATACCAGCTATCTGGAAAGCTAGGCTGGCAGAGCAAACACGATCTCTTTAATACCCAGCAAGGCATCAAGGGAAATAGCCCTTCCTGGAGTCAGGCGACAAAGAGACAATAGCAAGACAGGGTGTGCAGAGACACATGCGTGGTGGGTCTTACCAGGCTGCAATGGGGCTGATGGAACAGAACGGACGCAGCGGAGAAAATGAATGTGAGAAAAAGACAGGAAAAAACAAACGGCTAGTTAGTTTTAGGTGATGATTTGCAAAGAAGGGGAGACTGCAAGCCAAGGATGGAGGGTCAAAAACACACACAGGCCTGTAGGACACAGCAGAGGACAGAAGGGGCGGTAGCAGAGACACTCGCCCTCACTTTAGCTTCGTCTCTTCCTCCATCTCCAAAACGAGTGTCTCTAGGAGGGTGACCAGGCCTTTAGTTGGCTAACTGGCAACTTCACCTGTTGGATAACTGGCAATTTGAACCCTTTTCTAGAAAGGCGGAGTAGAATGATGACCCAAGCTTCTGAGATTCCATTTATTTTGTGTGTACCACGGAGAACAGAAATCGGGTCTGTCTGATGGTAGTATTCCAATCCCATTCCTACAGTCAGCTTAGGGCATCCTGCTTAGAAACTATCACAGCCCTAAAATCTCAAAGTACCAGGGATCACCAAACCAGAACTAATAACAGGACCTTACAGGAACAGGAGAAGCTCAGATCTTTACTATGCCTCTCCTTTTTAGAAAAGTGTCTGAGCTGCCAGTTCCTAATCAATACTTGCTGCCCCTCCAGAGGGCGTCTCCTAGCCATATCCAGCATATGACTATGTAAAAGGGTCTTCATGGAGGCCCTTGTGCAAAAGCAAAACACTGCGAAGAATCTAAGTGTTTGCGGTGGGTGACTGGTTAAATAAACTGCAGGATATCAATATAATAACACAGCCTTCAGTCTATAAAAGAATGAAGGGTCTCTTTATATATAAGGAATGGTCTCCAAGAAACATTGATTGAAAAAAACATGATGCAGAATTATGTAGATGGTAGGAGAGAAGAAAATGATTTGCTTATGTGCTTGTTTATATATATATAAAACGTGCAAAATATCTCTGGAAGGGTACAAAAGAAACATATATCATTGGCTACCTCTGAGGGAGAAACTGTGCCGGGGCAAAGGGATGGAGTTGCAATCTTTCCATTATTTTCTCATTTGTTACCATTTAAACTCTAAGTCATGTGAAGGTATTAACTATTCAACTAATAAATACAATACAAGTATATAACTTTTACATATAAAAGGGGGGGTTCCTCCCCCCTCACCCAGGCACCCCACTTACCTGGACAGGTGAGACTGCTTTTTACCGGCTGATCTTTGGATCAGAGACAGAAGGACACCAAGGAAGAAGAGAGCGTGGGGCCCAGGAGAGAGAGACGCAGGAGAAGAGGAAGAAAGGAAAACAAAACAAGACATAAACCAGACAAGACACTGGAGACAGTCTTTGGTTCAAAAGAAAAACCACTAGCAAGCTAAGAAGAACCCAGGGGTGGAAACTGGCCAAGTACAGTAGATCCAGCTTACTAAACTGCACATTCACCTGCACCTTGCTGCTGATTCAAACCTTTTAGAGTTTCACCACTGCACCCAGGAGAAAGGTCACTCGATACAGCAGTGAACGGGAAGTACTACTAGCCAACCCTGCCACCATCTCCACAGCTCCCAGCACCTATCCTAACTGCAGTGTGAGTACCCAACAGAACCACTTGTTCGTTTGTCTCTGGGGCTGAGAGGGCCATCAAGGCACGGTGGGCTTGTTGATCAGCACTCCCCACGCCTGACATGGTAAGTGCTCCATCCTGTGTTTGGTCCCCGCTCTTCCCTGCTCTTTCACTTGCCATGGCTTCTGGCTCCTGTGCCTCATGTTGGTGGCACATACTGTTCCTTCTTCCTAGATGTTCTTTCTACTCTACTCCCCATTACTACATCTGTCAACCAGACAAGGGAGCCAACTCCCAGAAGCTACAACTTCTGGCTGTCTTCAAATTATTCTAGTCTATCCTGCCCCGCCCTGCCCTTCACCTCCTCATCCAAGGTGAAGATTCAACTTCGCTCATCATTAAGTAAATGTCCTAGAATCTATGAATGATAGCTAAACTTACTGTGGTAATTGTTTTATTTAATTGTGGCTGTGCAGAAGGGTGGTCTCAGTTGCTGCATGGGGGATCTAGTTCCCTGACCAGGGTTGAACCTAGGCCCCCTGAATTTGGAGTATGGAGTCTTAGCCACAAGACCACCAGAGAAGTCCCCTGTGGTAATTATTGTGCAATACATGGGTGTCAAAGTCCTTATGCTGTCCATCTTAAAATTAGGTAGTGCTATACGTCAATTATATCTCAATAAAATGGGGGAGGCGAAGTCTTAGAATACAAACCTGTGTTATTTAATACAATAGCCACTAGCCACACAGATACGTAAATTTAAAACAAAATTTACAATTCAGTTTCTCAGTTGTACTACAGCTAGTGGCTACCTTATAGAATAGTGCACAATAAAACAGTTCCTTCGCTGAAGAAAATTCTATTGGACAGTGCTGCTTTATATACTACGTTGGCACTAGAGGTACAAAAATGAATGAGACAGTCACTTGCAGGTAATGGATGAGGTAAACATATAGAGCTTCAGTACAAATGCTGCGGGGCAGAACTACTTCCCGCATCAGCAAGGGGTTTGCAGAATACATTTTTTTTTTAAAAATAATTTTAAGTCAACTTTTTAATCAATTTTTGAAATTGCGGTACCATTGATTTACCAAGTTTTGCTGATTTCTGCTGTACAGAAAAGTGATTCCGTTGTACATATATATGCTTTCCTTTTTAAAAGCTTCTTTTCCATTATGGTTCATCTCAGGATACTGAATGTAGTTCCCTGTGCTATAGAATAAACTTTTAAAGATCTTTTATTCCGGCTGCTCGTCTGCTGTCTTTGGCCAGATCCATCACATCCCACCACTAGGTTACCCAGAACGGGCCTGAACTCCTCCCTTCCACTACCTTAGGAGAAAACCCATCCCATCCTAGGACAGCCTGGGCTTCCTCCTTGCCTTGTTCTGCCTGGCTCTGTGAGAGACTGGTTTCCTATGCCCACATTAAAGCTTAGAAGGAATGGTCTGGTAACTTAACCTGGGTTGGTTTTGCATTTGGGCTGGGTTGTGAACACACCTAAGGGCACACTAGGCCAAGGTTTATGTGCCTGGCTGTAAAGGGCTGCTGGGGCAAAGACAAGGATCATTTCAGCAGCCATGGAAAGTTCCTCTCAAAACAACAACAACAAAAAAAAAATCACAGCATAGGGCGCAGGCAATGGAGGACAAGGGGGATTACAACATAACTGTAACAGGTGCAGGTTTTTTTTTTTTTCCCCTCTTTTAGAGCTTAAAGGAAGAAAAACTACCACTGAATTAGAGGAGGAAGAAATACTTGTATTAGCAGATCGAGACTATTATGCAGGCTCTCCCCCTTCCTGATGACATTCCCATTAAAATTTAGCAGCAGAGATCAGACTCCAATCAGCCTAAATCCGATGGGAACATGGGAGGCCCAGGAAAGTAGAGAAGTTCTCTCAAATCTGTGGCCTTCTAAATGGCATCACTGAGACAGATCTTCTGATCCAACTTCTCATTAAGCCCTGTATTTATCCAGTCAGTTACAGAGACTGATAAGTCCTTTTATGTTTTCCCAGAATTGTTCCTTCCTTTTCATTATCATTGCTATCCATCACTTTAAGCCATATGTCCACTGTCTCAAATTACAAAAAAAAAAGAAGAAGAAGAAGAAAAAAACAGCTCTTGTTTTCACTCTCCAGTTCTTCCAGTATTCTACCACGATGGACTAACTTTCCCAAACACTATTTCTTTGGGTCCCCTCAGGTCAAGAACTTAGGATTTCCCTTATTATTCTCTATATGATCAGATATGTGTGTTACCTACTATTAAAGGCCTTTCATCAAGTGGATCCAAGTACCTTTTCAAATTCACTCTTATTGTTCACTTTGTCCTGCCTCTATTGGATCTTAAAAGATGCTGCACTCATTCTTGCCTCTGCTTTACCGTACCCTTCTCTTCATTTCTCTTTTGTCAAGGCTCTGGTCAAATGGCACTGATTCTATGAAGTCTTCCATGGACACTGCAGCTAGCATTTGTTTCACCCCAATGTCTTTTGGGAAAAATCTCAAACCTATGTATTAAAGTTAAATGATCTGCATGATGAATACTTACACACCCCTCATCTAGATTCACCAATTAACATTTGTCACACTTGCTTTATCTTTTTATGATTATACACTTTTCCCCATTTGAAAATTGCAGATGTCATGACATTTTACCCCTAACTATGTCAGCATATATCCCAGGACCCCTAAAATTCTATATAACCACAATGCCAACAGCACATCCAATGAGTTTAACTTTGATATATTATCTAGTATAAGTCTGTATCGAAATTTCCCTAATTCTTTCATTAATCTCCTATATAGTTGTTCCCAACTGCCTCGATACAGGATCCAGTCATAGATCTTAGAACTCTATTTATTCATAGCTTTTAGAGTCATCTAATCTAGAATATCACCCCCTTACCCCCACCCCAACCTACTTTTGTTGGTCTCTCCTAACACTGACATATAGAAGAGTTCAGGCCAGTTGCCTTATTGAATGGCCTGCAATAGATTTGTCTGTCTCTTTAGGATTAGGTTCAAATTAAACATTTTAAAAGAGTGTTAGATAACTGACGTGACACAGCTCGCCCATTTCTGGTGAGGTTAGGTTTGATTACTTAGGTAAGATGGTGCTCCTAAGATTTCTCAATGGTAAAACTATATTTTCCCACTTAAATTAATGGGAAATCTGTGAAGTGATGTTTTGAGACTGTAGGAATATCCTGTTGTCCAACAGCTTCCCACCCAACAGTTTTATTACCCACTGATGATCCTGGGGGACTGACTGATGCCTCAGTGGGTAAAAAACCAGCTTGCCAATGCAGGAGACACAGGAGATTCAGGTTTGATTCTTGGGTTGGGAAGGTTCCCGGGAGGAGGGCATGGAAACTCACTCCAGTATATCTTGCCTGGAGAATACCATGGACAGAGGAGCCTGGCGGGCGACAGTCCAAAAGGTCCCTGCCTGAACCACTTACCACACCGGTGGCTGCAAAATGACACTCTGCTAAATCTATCATTCCGTCTACATCTATTAGCGGGCAGTCTTGTAAAGAAGGTCATTTTATCCCTTTTCTGAAACAGTGCTATGAACTCACGAATTTTTCCCCTCCAATGCAAATGCATTATAATCCATTACTGCTTTTTAAAAAATGTTAAAGTTGTCTCAGTTTGGCTGCTGGGAGCTTCTACAAGCCAGCTCCTGTGTCCTTTAAAGTGTCACCATCTGCCTTATTTTCTGGCACACAAGAAACAAACATGAAAAAAACACTCCAGGCTCACCTTGTACGTTCCCTATGCCAGACTGGGGCCCAAACATTTTTTTGAGGAGCCCTGGCTCCTTTTAGTAGGAAATGTGTGTAGAAACAAGACTGGGTGCTAGGTGCTCATTGTTGCTAAGCTGCCACTGCTTCCCAGCCCGTTCAATGGACAGAGCCAGGAAATATTAAGAAATTGTGAGTTTACAAGGAAATCTTGTTTGACTCCAACATTACAGGGTTCTTTCTCATCTTCCGCAACTCCATATTTTATCTTTCTTTTCCCACAGTGAGAATCTTGTTCACAAACAACAGTAATATATTTATATATTTATTACAATATAATTATCTGCTCTACCCTATTTACATATCAAAGATTGTTTCCAGAGTTACTATCCCAGTAACACCAGTAACGGCAAACTGGGCAGAGGTTAGTTTCCTTACAATTCTCTTTGTCCTTAAGACTGTATCCCACTAGGTATATATAGCCAGTACTATTTGTGAAAGTCACTTTGGATGAATTTTTTACGCTATCAATTTGAAACGCATTTAGGTTTTGTTCTTTTTTTCTTTTTTTGCTGCACTATGTAGCATGCAGGATGTTAGTTCCCTGAGCAGGGCTCAGAACTGCATCCCCTGCAGGGTAAGCATGGAGTCTTAGCCACTGTACTGTCGGGGAAGTCCTTGGTTTCTGTTTGTATCTGTACTTAACTTTAAGGGTTTGCTTTTTCAGGGTTATTTATTTTTTAAATCTGTCAAACATTTACATGGTTGAAAACTCGAAATGCAATTTGAAAGGTACACTCAGAAGTGTTCTTGTCCCTTCATCCCACTCCTCCCCAGGTAACCACCTCCATTTGTTTTTTGGTTTTCTGTGCTGCTTCTTGTAAAAACTAAACAAACACAT